TGTTTAATTAACCAGGATTGAGAAAATTTAAAGCATTGGTCAAAATATATTTAATTCTAATATTGTTAAAGAAATATTATAAGCATATAATAAATATTGATGATCAAAAGATCATAATATATTCAATTCTCTTATCTCCTTTCATATATCCCTTGTTACAATTTTTATTCGCAGTAATGAATGATTACGATTCGATAAATATTTATCGTTGCAATACAGTTTCATGTCGTTTATCAAAAGTTAATTAATTTTTAATTATTAATATTTATGGCAAATTATGTTTTGATACTAATTGTAATCGTGTTTAGTACAAAAATTACAATATACGAAACGTTTCTCATCAGAGTCGTGCGAATGTTGACAAAACCATAATAGCGCTCTACTGTTTATATTTTATCGAATTTTATCGAATAATAGATGCAAATAATTAACGTAACGACTGCTCCGTGAGAAATTATTTAATTAATAATCGATAAATTAAAGTATTTCTGTTATTTAATATTACGCGTTAGTGTATATTTTATAATATATAAAATTATATTTAAAAAATTATATTTCAACGAATTGCCGATAACACGGTGTTCGACTTTGGCAATATAAAATATAAACAGTAGCACACTATACGGCTTTGTCATCATTCGCACGATGACTCTCGAATAATAAAGTAGTGATGAGACATTTTTCTGACATTACTGTTTATCAGTTTAATTCCTGACAAATTGAATTTAAAATAATTTATTTAATAATCTGGATTCCTTGTTGGAATATAGAAATAAAAATGTTTTTATCTCACAACAGGCATTTTGTGTTTTGTAAATAAAAAGATGTAAATATGACAATAAATATAGAAAAATATTTATTTCATCTTTGAATATTACAGTATCTTTCATGATTGAATAATTTATTTACTATCAATTTACATACATAAGTATTTTGTTATACAGCACTGGTGCTACCGGCATTTCATGCACATAGTACGGAACAAAACCAGAAATTGTGCACATTATATTATCCTCTGAGAACTTTCGTGAACATTGGCTTTGTAGTCCACATTTTTTTAGGTCCACAGAGGGCGTATCGCTTTCAGGGATCACCTAAAAGCGAGCCACGACACCTCTCAGTCTTCTCTCTGTTATGACATATAAATTATAAGTTATAGTTTAGCTAAACGTTTATACTATAATGTTAGTAGAAAACAATCAGCTTTAAATCTTAATTTTAACGAAAGTTTCTCTAAATTGGAGATTAAGGCGAAGATGGTAGAAACGGGCATAAGAAAATCAACAAATCGGAATTATCTTACATATCATCTACAATGGCAGTAGGATTAATGGATTAAAGCTGTAACTTAAGGAATTAACCAATCACAGTCAAGCATTAAGAGAATACTCGACTGTGATTGGTCAATTTCTTGAGTTACAGCTTTAATTCATTAATCCTACTGCCATTGTAGACTTTGCTTATGGAATTTTATGTGTGATGGCCATAAAGGCCTTTGCACATACAAAAATTTTAGTCGTAACCGTAAGGTCGTAAGAAAACTGACAAATCATAGTCGAGTATTCTTTCTGCGATAAAAGAATAATCAACTGTGATTGGTCAGTTTTCTTACGACTTTACGGTTACGATTAAAATTTTTGTACGTGCAAAAGCATTAAGATATTTCATATGTAGCAACCTTTATCTACCAGTGGAGTGTGTAGCGTGTAGTAGGGATGCGTGCCTAGTGTTGCACTCTTATTGTTGCGAACATACAGGTTAGAGAGATATATGACTTTTCTTTCCATTTTTACTTAAATAATACTACATAGTAAAAAAAAATTATATAAAATTGTTTTACATTAGAGCATATTCTTTTCTTTTTTATTAATCTAACTAATAGAAACATCAAGGTATTTCGCACTGCGTATAGCATGCGTTTTGCTCCAAATCTAAAACAGATGAATCCTATATCACGATCGAGTCCATTCATTGCTAAGGGTCTATTCTGCAATATTCAACGGAATTTGTCGATACAAAAAGATGGCAAAGATCAGACTGATGTAAAGGAAATTCCAATTGATGATTTGACGGAACCGACTAATTGCTGCATGTCGGGATGTGCGAATTGCGTATGGATTCAATATGCAGAGCAATTGAGTAATGCAATAGAGGCATCTAATGTGGATTTACAGAAGATCATCTTGGAGAAAGTACAGGATCCTAACATGAGGGCGTTTCTTACAATGGAACTGAAATGTCGAAAGCTGATAAAGTAGCGTCAGGAAATTATTATGGATCATAATAGTATAAGAAAGGAATAAATTGAAAATATTTATCTCTACACTTAAACTTAATTCTATTGATCAAAGAATTTAAGTAAATTACAATTGAGATCGAAATATTCATGTAAGATTCTAACATTATTAATGAATGATAAAAATGTTTTTAATTGTATGTAAATGTAATCTATCATAATATAATTGTGATAGATGCGATATTATTATATTAGTATATCAATATGTATATAATCAATATGTATATGTATATAACATGTAATATATATATGTAAATATCACATGTATTTTAAGATAATTAAATAAATTAATGAAAAAATGAAATATGAAAACAAAATAAAAGTGAAATAATTCAAATAAATTAATGATTATATATAAAATAAATTCAAATTAATTAAGATATATTATAATAAGAAATAATATGCAATCGAAATATATTAATCGAAATATATTAATTAATATAAAAGAATATTCTTATATTATAGCGAGAAATTTTATAAATTAATGGTAAATCAATAGGAAATAATTATATATATATATATATATATATATATATATATAAACATATATATAAAGAATATATTCATTTATGTGTTCTCTTTCTGTTATATATTCTTATATTCTTTATATTTATAAATAGAATAAGAAAATGATCAAAAAATAATTAGAATAATTTCTATATTTAAAAAAATAAAAAGTTTGCAATTAGATTATAGATATATTACTAGGGAAAAAGTCTATTTTTGTATATTTGTACATTTATTTTAGTACATTTATAGTAATATGTTTTACAATTGTAATACATTTGTTGTACATTTTATATTGATTTTTAAATAATTTATAATTGTATTTATTTTTGTAGAGTTTTTAAATTATTTTTGTATACATAATGTAATTTTTTATTACACACACACACGCACACATATATAAAATTTATAATTTCTATATAATACACTCAGATAGCACAAAAAAGTCAAAAAAACATTTAAAGGACGGTATTATTTTTTAAACGTTTTTTTCAGAGGTATATTTGTCTGAATAAAATTACATAATATATAATTTATCATTTAAATTATAACTTAATTATTTTGTAGATTATTTTATTATATACTTTATACAAGAAACTCTTTATTCAATTTTGAATACTTTCCAAGCGAGATCGAAATAGATTCTTACGAGAATAGCCGCAGTTTGCTTGCTCTTCTTTTTTTACCATTTTAATCCCTTAGACTATTTAATCACATCTGTCCTTTATGATTATATCTTTATAACATCGGCGCAAAATTTAAGGAAAATGTCAAAAAAATATAAATTAGATATAAAATAAGGATGAACAGAATAAAAAAAGATTGAAGCAATAAATATTACGCATCGATATATTATGTTTATTAATACAGATTAATAAATAGATATTTATACCCATTATATTAACTTATCAACACAAATACAGGATAAATTATGTAAATTATTAGAAACTTCTTTATATAAATTATATTAGAAATAGAGAGAAAATAGCAAATCGCATTCGGTCATTTGCACTACATTGTATTAATGCACATTAAAGGCTGCTATACATGAAATTATTAAATGAAAGAAAATAATATAACATAGACATTTTAAATAATTAAATTTTATTCATAATATATTGTTATTTTTTGAGCAAAACATACGTTATTATTTCATTATCAAAGTGTTTATATATTATGTTTTTGTATTTAAATATTTCATATATAGCAGCCTTTAATGTGCTTTAGTGTGGTGTAAATGCCGATGATCGAAATTCGCTAAAAATTTTTTTTAAATATTTTACAATTCTTTCTAAAACAAATAAGTTAATTAGTCAAATTCCAGATAACAGAAAAACAAGTATATTTTTTAAATATTTAATTGCATGTTAATTTCTAAATCTTAATTGCTCTAACTTTTTAATCTTTCGAATCACTAATTGCTAATTGCTGCGATTACGTTTTCAATATCTTGAACTTCTAATTGCGCGCGCGCTAATTTTCAATTATTATTATTATTATTATATGCAACCAATAACAAAGCAACAAAAAGTATATCAATGAAGAGATTGTTGTGTTTCTTATAAAACAACATGCTTTTTTGTTAGTTTGAATTTTCTTACAAAAATTGTGTATCAATTTATATTTGTTGTTTTAAGTGCGTTTATAAAATCGAAATTGATAAAACCGCGTCGCAACCTTATCTGCTTTGCGCACACGTACGGCCACACGTCACATCACGTCCTTCTTTCGCGATGACGTGCATATCTTGGTCGTGTACATGCTCACGCTCACGCTCGCCCACGCGCACTCTTACGATTTATTTTCGCTTGGCGATCATACTTTGCCGCAATCTCGGCAGAGTCTCGATCGAGCGCGCAAAATGACGGCTGTCGATTCTGAACAAACTATCAATAGTTCTCGTGGATCCTCGATAAAATTCGCGAATTTACACGTGTACTTTTATATTATATATTGGAAGTGTTAAAAAAAAGGATCTGATTATAATTAAATATGACATTCCAATATTATCATTTCCGCAGCATGTTGAATGAGTTTGTGTTTTGAGTGATGAAACCAATCGTGAAATATATAGTGATAAGATCGGATTGATAAAATACTCATTCGACACATTATAAAGGATTGATCAATTATTACATAAATATAATATATAATATATAAATATTTATATATGATATAAAAAAATTACATTGTTGACTAAATTAAACTACTGGAAAATAAGTTTTAATTAAAAAATATAAACAAGGTAAATAAATTTATAATTATAAATAAATAAATATATATATATATATGTATATGTATGTATATATATATATATATATATATATACATATATACATACATATTGTCTAATAAATTATGAATATTTAAATATTTAGATATAATAAAATCTTTAAAGTCAATAAAAGAAAACTATAATGGAAAATAGAGGATTGTGATATATATATATATATATATATATATATATATATATATATATATCCGAACAGGTGTTTCTAATTAAAATGTTAAATTATGATATTCAATTATGATTAAAAATACCTTATAAAGTATTATAAGATATTTAAGATATTTAAGATATTTATAAAATATCATAAATCCTAGAATTTGTTTACCGAAATTTCGCAGGATGATAAAATAAATCCGTCATTCATTTCTCGATAAATCAAATAATTTTTAACATCAAAAATATCTTATTTATAAACTTCATATGTATTTAAATACCTTTTAGATAAATTGCATTTTTGGAAAGATGTTTATTTGGAAATATGCAATATTATATGGAAATTAAATATAGAAAGAAAAATATACACAATGTCAATTTAAAAGATATTTAATATATTAAAATACATATGTCTCAATGAAATTTAAAATACAATTATATTTCTAATTACATAATTTAAGATATTAAAATTCTATAAATATAAAAAGTAATTTTAAATGTATTACAATTTTTTTAAAGTACAATATAAAATTTTACATTTTATTATATCAACGTAGTTTTATTTCCAATCATAGTTATTTTCCTTAAATTAATATTACAATTATTAAATAGAAAACAAATTTGTAAATCTTTGTTTTTAATTTAAAAAAGAAATCATGAAATAGAACGAAGGAATATATTCCTAGTTTATTAAAAAAAATAATAATAAATCGATTTTTTAAAAATTAACTTTAACTAATTTTAAAAACATGTATTTAAAAAATAATTCTAAACAAATTATCAAGTTTTTATAATTTTATTATAATTTTATGACAGTTAATTATCAATTATCTTATCAATTGATATACTAAAAATTGGAACACTGATTGTAAATGAATTAAAAGAAGATTGAAAAAAGTGGTCTATGAGGACAAATCTTCGATTACCATCTCGCAACTGTATCCTTGAAAAAATTATTAGTGCATACGCGTCGATGCCGGCAGCCACAGTCGCAGTAAATTTATGCGGTGAAGATTCCGCTGAAGAGACAGGTGAAACCGTCAATCAGAAGAGACGGGATATTTTAAGCGCGTTTAAAAGGAGAGCCTGCAATAGGATTAGCTTTAAGGGTGAATCGGGTCCTTTGCTAAGGTGAGAGATTCCACAATTTAAGATTGAATCTATAATGATAGAATTCATTTTATTCTCTTCTCTGATTCTCATTAATTTATGATGATGTCATTAGAAATTTCAACAATTCTCATTTTATAAAATATTTTTATCATGGATATATGATGTTAAAGCAATATAATTTTTTATTTTATAAATGTTATTTTTATTTTATAAATGTAATTTGACCAATATTGATTGACGATCATAATGTTAAGAATTATAATATATAATAAAAAACATAGTATAATAGTGAAGCAATATACCAATGACTCGCTATTGTAATTTGAATTCATTTTCGCTTATCGCAAAAATTTTCCGAACGAAAAGTTACAACGTAGTCAGTAGGTTGATTATTGGTGTACCGTTTAGAACTTAAAATACGTCATTAAACAGTCACAGATTAATTAATAATAAGCGATAATGTCTCGTTTTTATTGTCTCATTTTGGCGACATTTTGGTAAGTAAATGGCAATAAAATTTTTTTTACAAAAAAATTACTTATATTACTTAAGAAATTACATATGTAAATAAATAAATTATTTGTTATTTACATAAGTCAAATTACTTGTCTTTTGTTTCTTTTATTAATATAATTTATATATATATATATATATATATATATATATATATATATATATCAATTGTTTTGTTATTAAATATCAATATTTTATTATTATTAAAATTTTTTTATTATTATTAATGAAATAAAATCATATATAGTCATCATAGAAACTTTAGTATATCTATAATTATTGTGTACAGAAAAGAGAAAAAGAGAAAAGAGATGAAAAGAAGAAGAAAGAAAAAGAGATAGAAAAAAAAGAAAGAAGAAAGGGAAAGAAATTAAATAATTACATTGTATAGATTTAATCAATTGGTAGTTAATTTCTAGCTTATTTTTTTAGCATATTTTATAGTTTATGTTTTATGTTTACATTATATTACAGATTTTTAAGCATTTGATGCTACAAAGCCAATTTATAATATTATTAAAACGTGCAACTTGAACATTATAATATAAATTAAAAGCAGTCTTGTGTTTTATCTGTCAATATCTAGTGATATTTTAACTTCGAGAATTGTTTGATGTGATTCTTTCTTATTTGTGTTCTTATTCTTTTCCACTTACTCTTATTTCTATCTTTTATCTTAATAAATTGTTAGCAAGATTTATGGAACAGTTTTTAAAAAATAAGTCTTATTCCAATATACTATTTCCAATATAATATACGACATTCTGTCAAAACTATTTCATTTAAATAGAAAATAGTCACAATTGCGAGCATTTTATTGTAAATAAGGCAATATTGCATTTTAATTTTTTAGTTTTAACATAGAAACTCTTTTCTGTTGTTTTTTTCTTTTACAAAATAACTATTAAGAATTAATAACATTAATATCAAAGAATTAATATTATTTATAATATTATGAGATATAAGATTTAATGTTAATTTTTATTTATTCAATGTTATAGTATTTTTATTTAACATTAATATCTATATATATTTTTTTTTCTCCTATCTTTTTTACAATATATGAAAATGAAAATAATGATATCTTATATATTACAACTTATATTATAATTTTAATAATTTTTTATGCATATTATTTTATTCAAATATCTCATAATTTTAATATACATAAACAAGAAGTACTTAATATAATATATTTCTTATAAAATATAATATTACAAAGTATAAAAATTTTACTTATAAATATTTGTTGAACTAACATGTATAATTTAGCTTCATAAGGTTAACATAAATGACTTTTTATAAATTTCAATGTTAATATTGTGTTTTCACAGTAATAGTTATAGCCTTGTACAAATATGCATACATTGCATAAGCTAATGCCGATAGGAAAAAGCTTATCGTTTCCGCGTGTGTTAATGTTGTGAGAATGTCGTCGCACCGATCATTTAAACTGCATTTGCCTTAGACAATTTTGTTTACAATAAAGAGTAATATATGACATTTTGTCAAAAAAGCATATACTAGATAAAATAGTTATCAAGAAACTTATAAAGTTTAAAATATCAGAAAAAATTATGTTAATATCTAATGAATTAAAATCAAACAATTTTATATAACGGCACGTTTAAGTTGCACGTTTTAATAATTTTGAGTGCTTGTTAAACACATTACGCGCTCAACGTATTTAACAGCCTTAAAATAGGTACGACGATGTAAAATTTGAATCACAATACGCGCTTTTATGAGACTCCAAAAATAACAACGCATCAGATGCTACTTCACCGCCAATGATTACCGAAAATCTTTTTTTTTTCTCGAAAATAGAAATCTTGTTCCGGTAATAAATTTGTATTTTAAGAGAAAAAAACATCTTTTTCTAAGAAAAGAAAAATCTTTGAAAATATTTTTTTCATTTGTAAGACATATTATTTATAAGCAATAAATATCCTGAAAAATATTGAAAGACACGTGAATCTTGTATATGTTCTTGGTAAATAAAAATTAAAAATAAAGTTTTAGTATTACACAGAGCTGCGAGGATCAATTACGAAAAGCAGAGTAGGTGAGTCTGATAGATTTGTTTAATATTAAAAACGAATCTGGTCGCAGAATTTCCCAACATGTCAGGTTTCGAGTAATTCATAGTTAAATAGTCCGAAAATGGCAATTTTGACAAATTTCATGAATTTATATGAGAATCTAATTTTTTGAAATATTTTTGTCAATAGTATCGTATAGTACTAGTTTTCACCTTTCAAATTCATTTTTGATTGCTGCTGCATGATTTTTTTTTGCTGAAATATACAAGTATAAAGTTATAAGAAAATTTACATCAAAGAAAATTTACATAGGCATTAATATGGCAGATCCGCTATTTTGAAATTTGAAAAGGCTTACATCTATCAGGTTCGGTTATCAAAAAAAGTCCTGTAAAATATATCTAATACAAAAATATATCTAATATCTAATACAGTTGTTTTGATAAATTTTATATTTTATTTGATTCTGTTCGCCATTTTCAAAAAATGACAGGAGGCGTTCAAAAATTCATGTTTTTACTCGAATTTTGATTCGTGGTAAGACAGAGAGGTAACACACTTGACTTGGAATGGCATTATGCATGACCAATCTTAACTTGTATGTCTGAGCGAAAAAAAGTCGTGGGAGGGCAATTGAAAGTGGATTAGAAAGGTGAAGACTAATACGATACAATGCCATTAGCAGAAATATTTTACAAAATTAGATTCTCTCATAATAAATTCATGAAATTGATTGAAATAGATATTTTTGGACTTTTTAACTACAAATTGGTCAAAAACCTGACGTTCTCTAGAAATTTTGCGGTCTGATTCGTTTTTAAAAAATCGTTAAAAAATCTATCAGATTTACCTATTCTGCTTTCTGTTACTAAGCAAACGCAGAAAGATTATATATATTTATATATGTATATTTATATATATTATAGAATCTATTCAACTTTATTATTAAGTTAGGAGTATATTGTTGTATCGTTAAAATAGTTATTACAAGTTAGTTTATATTATTAGTTTATATTATTTTTATTGTAAATAAATATATAAATTTTTTCATATGTAAATCATCAAAATAATATTTTTTTTTAGAAATATTATATATTAGAAAGTTTAACGTTATTAATAGCTCCTTTCTTTGTGACAACTCAACGAATTTAGAGGATTGTTGTGTACCAAGAAAGAAAAATCGTCCGCGAAGAGCCGACGTTGCATTTATAATGTTTAACCAACCTTGGTTCTTTAATGATTACATTCTAATTAATCTGTGTCCACTTACGCTGATTAATTTAGTTTAATATAAAGTTGGGAGAGGAAATAAAAACTCAATTAAATCGAAAATATAGATTTTTCGTATACATATATCGTTGTTGTATAAAATGTAATCAAAGATGTATTTGTACTATAATACATACATACATACATACATATATAGATTATCTACATCATCTTATAATTTTAATTCCTTAATGTAGATTTTCTAAATAATTTGGAATTGACCCTCAACGAGACTATTAATAAAAAAAAGTTATCATTTTATAAATTCAAATTAAAATTGTTTTAAAATGTTTAAAAAAAAAATAAAAATAAAAATTTTCTTAAAATTTCCATAAAAGTAATTTCACAAAAGGATTTTATTATTTACTCGTCTTTTCTAAAATTTAATTAATACAAAATTGTTTTGTATTTACTTTTATTCTATTTTTGTTAAAAGAATTGATGCTTCGATATTTTTGATGAACAAAATTTTAAAAGTTCAAAAAACTAAATTATAATAATATTGTGTGTTGTGAGATGAACATTATTATTGAATGCGATAAAATAATAAAATATATTTAAATATATTATAAAAATATATAAAAATATATTATAAAAATATATTATAAAAATATATTTAAATTTTTTAATAAATTATATTATATATTTTTTATATAGTTTTTTATATATTTTTTATATAGTTTTTTATATATTTTTTATATAGTTATATATATTTTTATATAAATTATAAATAAATTTTTATTTTATCTTTAATTTATTTTATTTTTATTTTATTTTTAATAAAATTCGAATATGAATGAGTCATTATTTATTTTTACAATATGCTAAAAGCTTGTCTGTGATCTTAAATAATTTCAAATAAATATTAAATGACTGTGCTGATTGCGAAAAATAGAAATAACAAAATTAGGACGACGCGCATTGAATGTTAAAGGAATTCATCATTTTGGCGAAAAGAGCAAACTATCATAATTATCACGATGTCGCAAGTGTCAATAATGATCATCAAAGCAACGACTTCCGGTGACGCAGCCTGACGCGAGGAACTGTCAAATAATCTTCCTTTTACTTTTTCTTTGTATTTTACACTCTAGATTATACGACATATTTCGGTTTTATTTATACAGTTTTATTTATATTATTTCATTATTTTCGAATATTGTTTATTCCTAAATTTTTTAAAACTTAATATAAAAAAATTTCTAAGCATCATGTCTTTGAATATAAATTTTTAATATTATGCCATTGTGTGCATATATGAAATGCCGTATCGAAAATTTTATAGAAAAACGCTCTCATAAAGTAAATTTTAATACAATGTGTGTATGTGACATATACATACCTAGTATAACTAGGTACTTAGTGTACCTAGTATCTTAGTCAACCGTCCTTTATATGTATGTGCATATGTGTATGTATTGTAGTTTTATATATATATATAAAATCTTAAATAAATAAATATATATATATATATATATATATATATATATAATCACAAGATAATATTAGATTATCGTGTATATAAAACGTTTTTATGTACTTTTGTAAACAGATAAAATGTTACATATATATATATATATATATATATATATATATATATGTATGTATGTATGTATGTATGTATATGTATAACATTTTATCTGTTTATAAAAGTATAGAAAAATATTTTATATACGCGACAATCTAATATTATCTTGGTGGTTTTAGTCGAATAAGTAGATTTCATAAACACAGTCTACATTTTATTATGGAAATACTTCATTGCGTGTGAGAAATATTTCTTGTTTCGAAATAACTGCCTACGTATCATTGAGACGAGAAAGTGTCCGCGATTATGGTAACTAACGGCAATAAACTTAATAGCTTAAGCGCGGAAACTACATATTTTCACTGGAAGATCACATCAGGCAAATTTAATTCAACTTTTTATATTTTCGATTACAAATTTCTTTTACTTTTAGTATGTTTATTTTTTAAGAGGGATTATATATAACATATAAACGCAATTTTTAACATTATTGTTAAAAATTTTTTTTATTTCAAATTTTTAGTTTTATTCAAAAATAAATTAAATTTTTATTTATATTACACACACACACATAAAATTCTTTTTACAAAATTAATAGAATAATTTATTTAATTAGTTATAACATATATATATATATATATATATATATATATATTAGATATAAATATATTAGATATAAATAAAATAAAAAATATAAAATTGATTATACATTTGTTTCATTTTTATGATGCGACATAATATTATATTTGTATTTTACATCTCTTATATAGAAAATTATTGGAGAGATGTAGTCATCTCTAGTTTGTTCATATCATCCTTGATGAAATTAAATCTTGAATTAATCGACCGTCGTCTAGGTTCGAATCAAACAACATCGTCTGGCAAACGACGTTCTAAATTTGCGTGATTTCACACAGCTCTCAACCCTGACATATTGACCTGTGACGCAAATAGATCGACGACTACTTTACACTACGCGCTTTTTGGCGTTTGAAAATGTTACTGATACATATTTGTTAATGTTTATTTCCATTTTATTCTACAGGAAACAGTCATTTTTACAATCTGCGATTTTAATTTATCTATCAGATATTTATCTGCTCATGTGTTTTAAATTATTTTTTTATTACATATATTTTTTACATTATTTATTTATATATTATATATATTGAAAATATATATATTAAATATATATTGAAAATTTGTTATTTTTTAGTACATACAAGTTATATTATTTATAACCAATAGATAATAATAAATATAGATTAAATAAAGAATAAATATTTACCTTTACACAGCCAGTCCCAAATGACTTGAACTTGACATATACATATTTTCACTGCCCTAAGTAACATCCAAAAGGTTTTAGGCATCGCTTGTTGTTTATTAAAAAGTTATAAACAAAAGAAGTTTTATAAGGCTCACAAAATTTTTGGACATCATATACATACAATAATAGATTTTTCGTATTGAAAATTATAAAGGAATAAACATATTAAAGAACATCTTAATTTCTTTGACCTTTGCATATATATTGATTATAATTGAGGATCTCGTTCTGTGTGAAAAGTTGCAAACCCATGTGGAAACGTATAATAATAGACCTCGCTTCGCACTGACTCAGAGATGGTATGGGATGGACCTCGCTTCATATGGAAAGTTGCAAATCTATGTGGAAGCATACAATAATAGACCTCGCTTCGCACTAACTCAGGGTTGGTGTGGGGTGGATCTCGCTTCATGTGGAAAGTTGCAAACTTATGTGAAATCATACAATAATAGATCCCTATTGTACGGTTACACATAGATTTGATTTCACATAGTCCCCAACCCTGAGTCAGTGCGAAACGAGGTCTATTATTGTACGTTTGCAACTTTCCACACAAAACGAAACCACTTCATACCACTTCTGAATTTATTAAATATTTCTTATTAAAAATAAAAAATAAATAAATAACCGCGTATATGTAAAAAAAACATTCCGTTAAGTGCACAAAATGTTTAAAGATTATGTGAAATTCGTGAAACTTTTTAACAAACAACGAGCGACGCCTGAAACTTTTTGAATGTTACTCAGGGCAGTAATCTTGATAATATATGTCAAGTCATTTGAGGCTGACTGTGTAAAGGTAAATATTCACCAAAAAAATTAATCTGAATCTTAATTTCTTTTTTTTAAGGTATCGCCATGCTAGATTTAGTTCCAGAAGAGTTCGAAAAAGAGTTGTTTTTAAACACGGCGACTGTAATGTTGTACAAGGAAATGTTGCCAAACGACGTCGGCGATATCTTCAGGTGAATTTCTTTTATAATACATTAGATTGTTGAAACATAAAAAATAGATATGAAGAACATACAGAAATATATATGTGTTAATTTCCTTAAATTTATTATTTTACAATGTATGTATGTAGCGATGAGTGTGCTGGCGCGCGGCGAAAGCTTCTCCCCTCCTCAATCACCGCTTCGTCGCACGCCGCCATATTGCTGTTTATATCTTTTTAATAAATAATGACCGCTGACTAAAATTTTCATAACATTACTCAGAGTGATGATCTTGATAACATATATGAGAATTATTGAAATGGGGCGGTGGTCCGTATAAGTAAATAATTACATAAAATTATTATAATAAAATTTATATAGTAAAATATTTCTCTCTTTCAGGATATTTTTACAACGTTGGTAGATGCGCAATGGCGATGGACGCTCTTAGTATTTTCCATGAATTTCTTGTTATCCTGGCTGGGATTTGCGCTTATATGGTGGTTAATCGCATACAGTCATGGTGATCTTGATTTCGACAACTATAATAATCACACTTTCATTCCCTGTGTCAAGGATATACGCAGTTTCACAAGTTGCTTCCTATTCTCTGTTGAAACACAGCATACAATAGGGTAAGTTATATTATACACATTCATATAAAACATATACATACATTATGATATACTAATATTATTATAATAATTTTTTATTATTATTGCATTATTATAATTATATTATGTTAATAACTATTATACCACTAGTTTTCTTCTAAATTTTTCTTTTTTTATTTCGTCGTAATTATTATTTCAATTTTTTATTTTTTTTCTTCTTTTTTTAAATTAAATTATCACTTTTTAAATTTAGAAACGCTAAGAAATATTTTATGTTAAGTATATATAAAAGTATCCACATTTGTGTATGTAAAAAAAGTTTGAAAAATAAAACGTTGTTAAACATTATTAAAAAATTAGCTATTCACGAAAGAGATATGAAATCAATGCAATTAGTTAAATAATTTTGATTATAATATAAAATGAAAATGATTAAGATTAAAGTATAGTATAAAAAGTATAATATAAAAAGTTGAAAAAATTATAAAATATTACGTTATATAAATTTGTTTGATATATTTGTCATAGCTATTAATGTAGTTATTAATGTAATTGAAAAGATTCATCTCATTATTTGAAAGAAAATAAAAAAAAAATAAATAACTAGAAGAAAAGAATTTGTAGAACTTTTTCGTATAATTTAATTGAAATTTATCGGTGTAAAGTATTAAAGTGAATTAATTATAATTATTATAATTGTATAATTATATATCAATATTCTTATGTTTCTGTTATTATTACTATTTCTTTCTTTTTTCGATTTTCTTTTTCTATTTTCTTTTTTACTTTTTATGATAATAATTATAATATGTTATTTTAATATTATGTAAATATAAGTTTTTAATAAAAGTATGAATGACATATATATAGATACGGATCGAAACATACGACGGACGAATGCCCCGAAGCAATTTTCACCCTATGCATCCAATCAATGACTGGGGTGATTCTTCAGGCATTTATGGTTGGGATCGTGTTCGCCAAGCTGTCGCGACCTAAAAAGCGCACACAAACATTGCTCTTTTCGCGCAATGCTGTCATCTGTCAGCGAGATGGCCAGCCCTGTCTGATGTTTCGTGTCGGTGATATGCGTAAGAGTCACATCATTGAGGCTCACGTTCGCGCTCAAATGATCAAGAGAAAGGTGGAACTATGATTGTGTACTACCCTTATATCTTTACAAAATGTAGTAAAGAAATTAATTGTATATTAATTGTATAACGCTTGTCAATGTATGTACACGTACGTTTCAGATTACGAAGGAAGGTGAATTATTGCCGTTCTTCCAGACGGAATTGAAGGTGGGCGGCGACGGGGAGGAGGATAAGATTTTTTTTATATGGCCGACCACGATTGTTCACAAAATCGATCGATATTCGCCACTCTATAGAATATCAGCCAGTGATATGCTGCAAGAGCGGTTCGAGATTGTCGTCATATTGGAAGGTAACAATGTCATATTTTATTGATATATATTGTAGTAGTGATCGAAATATTTAATAATGTGATAATAATGATTAATAATATCGATAGGTGTGATCGAATCTACTGGTATGACAACGCAAGCAAGAAGTTCATATCTACCATCAGAGATACTATGGGGTCATCGGTTCCAATCCATCATTTCCTTCCGCAAAGAAACCGGCGAATACGAGGTCAATTATAGTCTTTTTAATAATACTTATGAAGTGGATACTCCACTCTGCTCGGCTGCTGATCTCGATCGTATTCGAGCAATACATCGCAGCGATACAAAAGCTGGTAAAAATTTATTATTCTTTTTATTTAAAGGATCGTTGGAAATAATATAATCGACCAAAACTAGCCAGAAATTTTTTGTTGTTTATTGATTACGTTGACGTTTCGACCATATGATTGTAGTTCTTTTCAAGTAAATAAAATCAAACGACAGATATAAATCATAGTGTTGTAAAATGCACACGTCACGTTTGCACGATCAATTACATCTTAATAAATTTAAAAGCGAAAGATAAAAACGATGTGTCGGTGTGAGACTTTGTCAACGAACGGCAGTTAATTATATTGCTATAGTTTGTTAAATATTAATTTTAATTCTCTATAATTAAAATAAATGCATTTTATTTTATTTATTAACATTAAAATAAAATAAAATATTTTCAAATATTTTATTTTTTATTTTTTATTGTAATTATTATTAATAATTCTTATTGATTACAGATTTGTCGCTTATCGATTATTTGAATTTATTTAGTTTTTTAAATCAGAAATAAAATATTAACAATAAAATATAAAAACATTAATAATAAAAAACAATAAAAAAATGATAACTTGCTTCAGTAAATGATAAAAAAATATAAAAGGAAATAGAATAACTTTTTATTTATTTTATTTTTTATTTATTTTATATTTATCCGCATTTTTTATTTTTCTGCTTTTCTATTTTATTTACAATTAAATAAAATATAGAAAGAAAAGTTATATTTGTTTTTATTCGATATATTATCTCTTTTTATATTAATTTTTCTGAATTAATCTTGATAATTACATTTATAGGACATCCTAATTCAAGTCTATTTCCGGAATATCGCGATACCTCCAGCAGCAGTTCATTAACTATGACTTCTGGGTCGAGTTTGGGATCTTCAACTGGTGGTTTGCACATGCAAGTATCAGAGCCAATAACACCTGCGAATCCGATTCCTGTGCTAATCACCGCACCAGATGGTTCTTGTAGACGAGAGAGTATCAATACACATTCCGATATATCATGTTTTTACGCGCAGAATGAGGTAAATAAAAAATAAAATAAAATCATTAATAATAAATAATTACATATGTACAGAATATTTTACTATTTTTATTATATGCCATTTAGAGAAAATTTAAAAATATATATCTGCTTTCTTTCTTATTTTTGTATTTTAAGATTTGTTGGGATACTTCGAATGTGATATCGCGCAAGTTTACTGTTCAAATAAAATAATTTATGTTATAACAAATTTTTAATTGGAGAATGTATGATAATTTGCAAATTGTAATTAATTTCTTTTTTTTAATATTCAGATAACAAAAGAGGAACACGATAACTCAAAGGATGAAAATTATGATTGTGTCCTACAAAATATTAATGCATCTTTACAGAAAAGCAAAGAACAAAATGGGAAAGAAAACATAACGCAACAGAGTGAATCAAAGTCAACATTAGATTCAAAAAAGAATGAAAAAGCAAGTTCTACATCGATCACAGAGGAAGATGAAGAAAGCGACTTGAAGAAGATACCTAGAAGCAATCCAGATATTAGGTGAATCAAAAGCACGATATTTTCTAGAAATCTATTGTATTTAGAATTCGTTCTTGAGATTCTATTATAATAATAATTTAATTCATTTGAATTTCTTAAAACAGACAGAGAAATCTTGCGGACTCTACAGAGATGCAGTATCCTACATTTAGAAGATCTAGCTTGTGCGATGATTATATAGGCAAAAATGCTTCCAAGAAAATAAGCTTCATTTTTGAGGAGAAAACGCTCACGAATCGTACCCACTCCCAAAACACAAATCCAACTGAACAAACATAGGTAAGTGTTATAAAATTTATTATTTTTCTATAGTAGAAACTACAACATTATATTTCTCAAGGAATGCAGATTAAAATGTAACTTAAATAAAGATTAAATATATACATATATTATGTATAATAATTATGTAGTTTTATTTTTAATCTCTGTTTTGGATACATAGAGTAAACTAGAACTAAAGTCACTAGAAATTGCTTTTTAAGATATCTTCATAATTAAATTTTGGAAGTGCTTTGGTCTTAAATTTTTTTGGGCGCCAAAAAGTTTTTTATTTTTATTTTTTTAAATAAAACCATTTTAATTTGTTTAAATCAATTTCTCGCAATACTCAATGTAAAAAGTTATAAGAGTAGAGTGATTAAAAATTGAATATGTATATACAGGGTGTACCACTCGTACACCCCTTTTAAAATGAAAATAAATTGCTTTTATAAAAAATCGCGAACAATTTTTAAGTAAGTCGAGTACGCTCTATCAAATAGTAATGGAAATAATGAACTTCAAATGTTCCTGTGGCGCAACTAATGACAAGGATGTGTGTGTGCTTGAATATACGATATCTTATAAACGTTCACACACACGTTTTTGAATGAGTGAGGTGTATGTTTAAACAAAATATTTGAAGTTCATTATTTCATCACAGTTACTTTCAAGATCAATTTTAAGATTGACAAAAGCACTTTTAGAAAAAACGTTTGATACAAAAGTTTCTTATTTTTTTACGTACAATTCGAATCTGTAATAAAAAGTACCATGTTCCCCTAAAAAAATTCAACTTCCGATCCGAATGGCGTATTTCCGGTCGGAATCAAAAGTTGAAAATATCACCATTTGATAGGATGTACCCAATTTATTTAAAAATTGTTCATTTTTTATAAAAGCTATTTATTTTCATTTTAAAAGAAGTGTACGGGTGATTTAGGACACCCTGTGTGTGTGTGTGCGTGTGTGTGTATGTGTGTGTGTGTGTGTATGTATGTATATGTATATATATATATATATATATATATATATATATATATAATGCAATACTCTGTTGAGATAAAATAATAGTGATGTGATATTATGCATTATTGAAATTACAATTGCAATATAATATAATTATATTACAAGTGCATTCTATTGTGTGTGTGAAAAATTTCAATTGATTTATATAAAATAGAACTGGATAAACTTTTAATTTTATCTTGTGGAAAGATAAATATATAAAAAATACAAGAAATAAAATTACTTGTTTAATCGGAGATATATCCTTAATTACATGCAAAAAATTAATTAGCAAAAATTATCCTTATTTTATATATGATATTGGATCCCGAGAATTTAACTATCGTACGCGTATATAATATGTGATGACGAACATTTTAAACGCGCGACGGGAGATTAAAAGATTGACTAGTGTGATAATGAGGGCACTTCCCGGCACTAAACTCATTCCACTTATCTTCTGTGACCCTCGGGATATACAATCAATCCTTTTTTGCAATCTATTCTTCAACCAACTCCCTGAAAAATTATTTAGAAGACAAATCTAGCTTAAATTCGTATTTTTGAATATTGGATTTTTTTCTAAATTTATAATTTACTATAATTTAAATTCTCAAATCCTGACAATTTAAATAATTTTTGTATAAAATTTTTTTATGCTTATTATTATGTAGTTTGCGTTTTACCACTTTCGTTATTTGAATGATTGCAGAAACGATTATAAAAATATATTTATTATTTTTAATTTTCAATAACTAGATTTTTATATTCAATAACTAGATAGATAGATTTTATTTTTTTAATCAAAATTAATTTGTTACACTTTAAATATTACTTTCAGATCTAGAAGCTGTTTAAAAAAATTTCTTTTATAGATAATTTTCTTATATAGATTACAATAATTATAGATAAAATATTTATTATCACAATTATATTTTAAAAACTTATATATATAATTTTAACGTTATAATATATGTACGTTGGTATATATTGTAAATATTTATACGAAGATAAATTGTAATATTACGACGATATATTGTAATATTTATACGAAGTTCTAGAATGAATTGAAAAGATTGTAAACATATAAATATTTTGCAAAAATTGCAAATAAATCATACGCATGAAAAAAGATTTCTTTAATTTGTTGATTTTTCTAAAATATGTCTTTTTCGCCAAACTGTTTTTGATAATTTATTGTTTTAATTTTGTTTGAATTATTTAAATAGAACGAGATAAAAACACATTATTATTTCATAGATCAGGAAACATTACATCGACATACAATAGCACTATGAGAGCTATCGCTTAACCAGACTCTTTAATCATTAAGGCCCGGATATGGCGTAGTTAGAGGAACTTAAGTTGCACTTATGCATTACATGATATCTTTGTGCTCCAGTTAGGACAATTTAGATAATGTTCGTTGCTAAATTCGGCTTGTTTTAGGACATCCTTGAACATGAAAACGCGAGCTATAGATTTGCGAATTCTATAAAATTTATAGAATGATTACATTAACAAACATACACATAATCTTGATCAATTAAATGTTTATATATTTATTCAATGCATATAGGATAATTCAGGTTTATATCTAATTTTATATATATATATATATATATATATATATATGTATATATATATATATATATATGATTATATTATAATAATTATTGATATAATAATAGATTGAAGATAAATTCACATATATTTACATATAATTATATAGGGTGATTTATTTTAAACTTAACAGGTAAATATTTTGAAAAATATGTGAGATACAAACAAATGTTTCAGACAAAAGTTGCATGGTTTCAAGGGGGACATAAGATGGTGATAATGATTTGACCTTGGATAGTCATTTTGAAGATCACGCGAAAGTTACCTTTAATTTCTCAAATGGAATCTCTTATTTTTTATTATACATTCTTGAAGCTTATTTCGAGAGCTTTCCAAAACACTATAATTAAATGTTTTTTCGTTAAGTACTTTTCGAGTTATGAGGTCACCTTATGTCTCCTATGAAACCATACAATTTTTGTCTAAAACATTTTTTCGTTCTTGCATATTTTTAAAAATATTTACCTGTTAAGATTAAAACGTATCAGCTTGTATACATACATATGTGTGTATATATTTGTCATTTTTTAATAATGTAATATAGAATTCTCAAAATATATATGCATATTTTATAAAATTAAATTTCCTTGAATTAATTTTTTATATGCATTATATGTATATCAATATTTAGAAATGTGTACAAGTTATAGCAGTATTCAAATTTGAAATGAAATTAAGTTGTTCGTAATGTTTACAATATATAATTCTTTATTATTTCATTTGTAAGATTCGCAGAATGTTTTCACGGACTGTAAGTAAATTCGCGGCCACATAAATCGCGATTCACGGCGCGATAGCACTGAACAAATCTGCATATCAGACCGAGGACAGACAGACGGAGCGTTTGTAATTTGCGTTTGTAGTTGCAAGGTGATACGCTTTTTTTATTCTTAACGCGATGACATCCTAGATGATGGCCATTGTCACCGAGATGTCTTCAAACCGGACTTTACACACATTGCAATTTCACTTCAATTACAAATTATATGACGACAAAATTTATAGACATTTCCTTTTTTTGATTAATCCGATATAATAGACATATTTTATTATTAAATTAATTGTTTTCAACCAAATCTAGAAAGAGCTTTATTATTATCATAGAAAATAAAGAATTAATGAATTTTCTTCATGTATAGCATATAATAGTGATAGTAAAAGTCTTTATAGTATATAATTGTGTTTTAAACTATATAATTCTATAGAAATAATATAATATTGAAATAATAAATAACATATTTTATTAAATAATAAGTGAGCGTTTTGTGATATAATGTTAATACATCAATATACGTATATAAAAATATCTACGAAAAAATAAAGCGCTCTCTTCACATCAATGCAATATAAAATATATACATAATTAAAAAATGTACTAAAGTGCGTATATGTAATTATAAAATATATAATAAATATATTTTAATTACAATAATACATTTGATAATACATTTCATAACGTCTAAAATTAATTACAGCAAATACTTTTTGTCATGCTGAGAATAAGAAAAAACCGCGTTTGTCGTGGCAAGTCAATTAATGCCGATATAATAATTGCAATTACCTCGACATGGACGTATGCGCGCATAATTTGATTCACAACCGTCGTAGATATATAATAATAGCTTAAAAGAATTAACAAGTTAAATCTGTTGTCTCATCACGGAGATCACTTATTTTAACTTATGTATTTTTTAAGAAAAGAATTAGTAAACAGTGACAGATTTTATTTATCTTATTTAAGAGGATGCTTTTGAAGAACAAAGAAAATTGTGATTTCTCTTAGTATTTATAATAACATGATAAGTGTAGAGCATGAATATGTTGTTGTTGCGGAAATTTTGTATTTTGACAGTCCGAGTGCTCATAAGCTTAGCAATGACTATATATCTATATATTGACTTTATCTGTATAAGTTTTCTTTTTCAAATATGAAAAAAATTAGCATGATTGTTTTAATATAATTCTGTCGATTAAATAATATATTTTAGATTTTATTAAATAATAAATAGTATTATAATATTCTAGTATATTAAAATTTGTGTAAGTATTGCATTCAATTTGTATTCAAAATCATTATTACATTTAAATTAATTAAGATAAAATATATTTTTGATTCTCTCAGTGATTTCAATTTAAAAAAATATTGAAGAGAATTACAAAAATATGCAAAAGATGCATATATGTATATCTAATACAGCTGTTAGATTCCATGAAAACTTCGAATAAACTCATGGACTCGACCGTGAAGACACGGAACTTTCGCGATCTCTGGCTCTCGATCTCATGAGTAGGAGGTAATAGAAGGTTATTGAGAGATAGAAAAAGAAAAGAATAGGATAAAATGAGAAAGAAAAAGAGAGGGGGAGATGGTGAATGAAACGTAGAAGAGGTCTGACGTCATCGAAAAAGCCCGTTGATGCGAGTCTTCTCGTCAATACAAACTAACTCGCAGTTTCGCGAAGTTTGCTTTGCCGTCGCGGAACATCGCACGTATTTTCTTGTTGTGGAATATGATAACTTAAGTTTTTGCAATGATGTGTAACGAAAGAAAATTTACGGATTTATACAAAAAATCCTAAAAGAATTAAAAAAGTTTTTGATGATTCCATTTGAAAATGAATCATCAAATGAACATGCGCAAAATTCGTGAAGGTGTGTAAATCAAAATATAAATATTTTAAAATAAAATGCGCTTTCCGTGGTTTCAGAAATATACATTATCATACCGATTAGGGAAAATATACGAAGATTTTTTATTCTTATTGATAAATTCTTCACAAACTTTCAAAATTTTAATAACGGATTATATGAAATTTTAATAAGGGATTATCTGATTTTGAGTCCAGCAGGATTGAAAAATTGCGTGGATATTAATTTAAATCTTTTTCTTTTAAATGATATGTAAAATGAAATTTAAAACTTTAATCAAATTTAATATCTGCCTAAAAATTTAAAATTTTTTTACAAATTTTAATATCTACTGAAAATAAAAAAATTGTGTGCAAACAATTTTATTTTTCATTATTATTGATTATATAATTTTAAAATTAAAGTTTCAAATGTGAAGTATTTTTTGTATATTAAAAAATTGAAAGTTTTTTTGTCATCATTTTGAAGATCGATGGAAAATTAGTTTTTTTTTGAAATTTCAAAAAGTAACAGAGAAAATAATCTCTAATAATCTAATAATTCGAGAAAATATCGAATAATTTGAGAAAAATTTATTGTATATATTGATAAGGTATTTGTTGTTAGAAAATAACGAAGTAAAATATTTAAAATTCTCTCACATTCGGTTAGATACACTATGTAGAGAATCTATATAGATCCGCAAATCTATATAGGGTTAATAGAGACTTTCATGTGTCCTCGCGTGCCGTTGAGATCTGTTTCCGGCATGGGAGGAAACATGCGGAAAGCGGAGCGATGCATTATATTGCATTAGATATGATATTAAGAAAAATATCATTTTATACATGTAATAATTTGGTTTCGTATATTATATTTAAAATTTTATACTTATTTTTATAAATGATAATATATATATATATATATATATATATATATATATATATGTGTATATACATATTTATGTATATAGAGAGTATATATAATAATTGAAAATTTTGATTAGATGACTAGATCATCCTTTTTAAAGAATCTTTTCATTAAAAATAAATCACTTCTCCTAATATATCTATTTAAAATATCTCTTTCTTTCACTTATACATAAAAAATTAACTAAAATACACATTTTCACATTTCTTAATATTTATATTTTAATGTTAAATAAATAAATAAAATAAAAAGAATAAAATAAAAAGTCAGAATGAAAATTTATTTTTTTCTTAATATACAATTAAGCTGGAGCATGATATAAGATAAATAAATTATTAAATAAAGGCAATAGTGTTTTGAGAATTGAATTGAAAATGATTATTGGAAGATTAGTGTTTACAAGATTATAAACAATTGTTTTTAAATATAAAAATTGTAAGCTGAAATTAAAGGGAACAAACTATTATTACTTATTATTAACTTAATTGTTAAAATAATTTTTGGAATTTACAGAAATTTTTAAATTTGTTCAAAACTTATACAAACAATCATTTATGCTATTATTATTGCCAATAGGAAAATAACATTCCTCTGTTATTTTTCTATACCAAAAATATCTATCCGAAAAATAGAATATTTTTTCACTGATATTATCAATGTTTCTATTTGTATATAAAAATAATTATATAAAATTTGTAGAATTATCTACAAACCTATGTAATCTTAAATGAATATTTGAGAAAATAAATAATTTAACAAAAAGAAATTTGTTTCTTTTAAAAGTAGACCATTTATTCCTATCAAAATTTGTTTAATTATCTTATTTTTACAAATAGATGGATTGTTTCAAAACTTTATAAATATTGCTATTTGGATTGATCAAACAATGTAATAAAAAAGGATTATTTAATGTTGAAAATTAATAAATTTATTGGCAGCTTAAAAACCATTAATTAGATGAACTAAATATAATTGAAACATCAAATGTATAAACAACATGTGTCAATATGTTTTCATATCTTAAATATTCAAGTAATAGTCCATCTCAACAACCGAATGATCTAATTTATATTTACATATATATATATATATATATATATATATATAATAAATAATATTTATATAACTTAATTATATAGATACATAGATAACGTAATACATATATTAAATGAATATTTTAATAATCATATTGTAAATAACATAATGTCTATAATGAGGATAATATAATATAATAATATTTAATATATATGTACTTGAGAAAAGCAGAGCTGAAATCTGCTTCTCTTTAGAAATAGACAATATTTTTTTAAAACTTTAATCTCAAAATACAAATTTACAAAAATATCTTCTATAACTTATTTTAGATGTCCTGAAGATTATATATATAATTTTATTTAATTTATTTAAATATCTCTGCTTAATATTGTGTCTTGTAAATAAAAAGTATAAAATATTATGTAATAATTCGACGAAAATACTTTTTTTAGATTTTCTATAATTTGACATAATCTATCCATAATTTTATGTACGGCTATAAGTATTGTAAAAATGTTTGTAGATGTAAGATAATTTTACTTACAAGTATATGAACCCTCTTTTTACATTAGATCATTTGAAATAGGCTTTATACGTGTGTGATTAAGGCGTACGTATTATCCCCGCCTGCGCGCTGTAAAGAGGTAAACGCCATGACGAGATCTCATGTGAATCGAGCGGATGAACGCGAGCGAATCTGAAACAGTTGTGAATGTGACGTGCGTACGTATGCTCGATCTGAACTGAAAAAGCGCGGAAAAATCGTCGTTTTAAAAGGTACGCCGTTTTCTTTATAAAAATTCTTTATAAAAAGCGCATATATATATATATATATATATATATATATATATGTGTGTATATATATATATATATGTGTATCTATCTATATATATATATATATATATATATATATATATATATATGAGGATTATATTTATTTAATAATTTGATTAATTACTGCCTAATAAATGTATTTGTTTTTTTTTTCATCAATACCATTTATAATTAATTTCTTAATTGCGACTACATAATATTATTAATAAATTAAATAGAAAAGATATTCAAATTTTTTTAAAATTCTGTTCTATAAAGAAATAAATTTTAACTTTTTTCGAATATGTAATAATTTTCGATATAGAAACGTTAACAAGATATCAAATAATTACTTTAATAATTATTTTTATACATTACACACACACACACATTATACATACACACATTTATACATACATATATATATATATATATATGTGTGTGTGTGTGTGTGTGTGTGTATGTGTGTGTAAATGTAATGAATAAAAATTACAGAGTTTATTGACCGCTAAATATTTTATTATTAAATGAAAATTATGTTTATATCTTATAAATAATCAAATAATATATTTCAAGTAATAGACTAAAATGAGAGACACATTGTACAATAGATGACTATATAAGAGGAAAACTTTTGAGACAAAAATATAAATAATCTTTATTCTTTGCTAATATAAATTTACGATGTTTTAAAAATGATTGTTCAATTACCTCTTGTTTTACATTTTTACAAAATGTCTTGATAAAATTTATGCATACATAGTAAAATAATCAGCTCAATTATGCGCACATTTCGTGTCATTTTGCTAATGCGTCATTAATATTATAATTATTGCTAATTGCTGATTGCTATATAGTTATTAATTATTCTAATTGAAAATGTTTAATCATAAGATATATTGAAATGTCAGTTACTATTTATTACCAGATTTATTGATAATAATATGTGCAATTTTATAATACTATGAAATTTTTTCTCTTTTGCTTATTCGAAAATATTGTGCAATACTTGAATATAACAAGCTGCTTTTTTGTATCATATGTAAATATATTTATTTAAAAAGATATTTAAAGAGTAAAAAATATATATTTGTTAAATGCAATTTTTTATTTTTCACAGTGTCGATGAGAGGTCGGAGCTTAAGATCGTCTAATGATGCTGGATAATCCATCTTTTATTTTGCGGATCAACTCAAAATTATCGCGTCTCAACTCAATGAAATAAAACAAAAATATAAATAACATGTACTAAAATAAATAAAATAAGCACAATTGATCTAAATAAATTCAAATCAAAGAGATGATGATCGAGAGGATTGGGATGAAACTGTTTGCATAAAGATAGATCTCAACAAATTTAAGAAAAGAGAAAAACAAACATAAGAAAAAAGGGCAAAAGAACATATCGCCAGAATGAAAACGGAACGATTTTTTTCTTGAGAAGAAAGAAGGAGGATGGATGATCTACCGAAACTTTTTCGACTTCCGGGAACAATTGAGGAAGAAGAGGAAAGGGAATTGGAGAGTCACAAGCCAAGAGAGTTGCTGGAGAAAGCGGAATCTCCTCTTTTGGGTCAAAAGGGTGCCTTGACTATTTCCACTTTACCGAGAAACGTTACCCTCATTAGAGTTAGCACTCAAAGCAGCAGCATCGCTGGTGGTATCGGTCGGCAGGATTCTACCAGGTGAGAGAAAATTTTAAGTTGTGTATTTTTATCGATTTAAAATATTCTTATTCGTTAAATAATGAAGATTCTATTGCATTAAGGAATATGCTAAAAATCACGAGTGTGTCAGATTGCTCGAAGCGTCATTTATTGAAAGCAGACACGTCATTGTAGCAGACACGTCATTGTAGCAGTCACGTATTTGTCAGAGTGATTATTGGCGCCTCTGCTTGACAGGTGTTCTTCACGGTTTTTAAATAGATTAGACAAAAAAACAAAGAAAAAGAACAACGTATAAAGAGAACGTTAAATTTAAATAGGTGCCATTATCATGATAACGAATTGCAAAGGAAGAGGAAAGATTGTAAAAACTTAAATTTTCAGAATTCATTTCATGTGCAACGAGTTAGTATGAAAAGATTACAAGGCAATAACGTCACTTTATATACTTTATATACTGAGTGTGTAATATATCGGTATAATATTGCGATAATAATGTCGCGCGTCGCAGATACGATAAATAACGACTCATTAGGAATAACGGGTAAAGGGTAAATACACATGGTAACCTCGTTTATGCACGCATATGTAACACGCAACACGGACGAAATGTTGATTACGCATGGACACGTTAATTGCATCTAATGATGTCAGACTTGTTGGCGTATTTTGCAAAATATATTGAACTATTTAGTTTTATTATTGGCAGATTTATTTTTATCATTGTTAGATTGTTATATAAAGAAAAAAATTAATAAATTAAAAATAATTTCGCATCAAACCATTGTTATACATACTATTTTATTTGATATAAAAATAAAAATAAAAATAAACATTGTTGTTATTATTCTTGTTATTATTATTACTCGTACGTAAATTGTTTTTGCTTACAAGAATGAGAATTTGTTATTGAAACAAATTTAATTTATTATTAATTTGTGATAATATAATATGTGTTGTATTCACAAATCTTTTCTCTTTTTGTAGATTGTGTATTTTGATTATTTTTATTATTTTGATGATTATACAGCGATAATAGAAATTTATTTATCAAGTATTTATTATCAATTATTTATTTTTATAATAAGTATTTACTATTATAAAGAACTTTAATTGATAGAAATAACATTTAATAGTTATTTTTGTTATATATATATATATATATATATATATATATGGCATTGTAACAATTCGCGATTTTTGCAAATATTTTTTATATATATATACAAAGTATCTCATAACTCAATCGAAAATTTAATGATATATTTTCTGGCAAATTTGGAAACGATTTTTTTAGCGAAATATTGAGTTATCAATCATTTTCAAGCTATTTAAGAACAAGAGTTTTTTGCAATCAGGAGTTTGTAAATTAAAGAGTTAATAAAATTTTTTAGTTAATTTTAGTTAGAGTTTATTTTAATAAAATCATGTTCTTTCATTTATGCAATGAAGAAATGAATTATTATATGTAGATATGTTTATAAAAAAATGAAAAGAAAGGCAATTACAAAATTTTTTTATAGAAAAGTGATTAGATCTTTATACATTTTTAAAGTTTTTTCTTAATAATTTGAATATTTTTTACTAGATGCATTTTTAACAATAATATATATTGACAATTACACAAAGATTTTCGCAAAGAAGCATAAATATGCGTCATTTTAATATAATAATATTAAAATAAGAAGATTTATTAATTATGAAGAAATCAATAATTTACGAGATGTTTTATAATTAATTTTGATATGTTGTAACAAAATATTTCAAAAAATATTTTCACTTTTTAATTACTTTTTCTTCATACTGTTATATAGAATATAAGATAAATAATAAAATAAATATAAGAAAAAATTTACACCTGTATAAAATTATAAATTTCTAACAAAAATTTTTTGAATGGGATTATATAGTATATGTGTATAGATTTCTTACAAAATTTATATATGATCTGTTAAAGTTAAAATTAGCTAATTAGAAATTTCAATCGATCCTATGATCGTAAAAATAAACGGATCATAATCGCGTAGTCCCCGTTGTAGATCGAGCCGCTTGTTAATTTAATTGTATAGTTCGTTATCACCATATGATAGCGGTCAGTTAGATCTAGCTCGACTGTGAAAGATATCAAAGAACCAAGTCAATAAGATTTTCGTCGCGCATGGTAATTTATTTCGGAAATTGTATCGATTATGGATCGTGAGAAATTAAGTTTTTCGAGAAAAAGATCTATCCGTGTGAGGTCCAAACAAAACAGCTGGTTGGTGTAATCGCTTCACATTATTTTGTGTTTTTCGCTTCACTTTATTTTGATGCTGGACTAATTAGCAAACTTGCGATTTATGAGATGATTGAAATTATTATTAGACAAAATATTTCTTTCATCTTCTTTTTGGTTCTAGTTTTCTTCTAAAGATATTTGTTTATTTTTTGTAATACAGTATCATATTATTATTCTTTTCTGTTTTTTTTAAGTTTATTGTTTACAATGTAGAACTTCAAACTAAAACTAGACAGAAGCCTTATGTATATGTTGTGACAAACAATAATATTAATTTTAGATCTTTAATAAAAGTTACCATCAGTCTGTAATTTAATTGAAACCTTTTACTTTATATAAAGTATTCATTAATATATGAAATTGAAATGAAATACCCCGAGTATTATGGAATACTCCACATATGTACATACATACATATATAAATTTTATATCACAGTTTAATAAAATTAATTTTTTCGAGAAATAAGAGATAGTCTTTTGTCTTGACACGTTTTGCATACATCAGCACAACTTCAGTAACCAGTCAGATTCTGATAACGAGATGCCAAGACGCTGATAAAAAGTATGCGACGTCAGTCAGTCAGTCAACGAGAATCGGGCATGGATCGCGAAGTCGTTCTCGTCGTTTTTTTTTTAATTGTGCTTACCCATTTTAAGTCTAAAATTCTAATGATTATAAAACGATTGTGATATTTTCCTGAAATTTCGATTAACAAATAGTATTAAATTAATTTCTGGTAAATAATGAATTGTATGTGTGAAAATCTCAAATTAATTATTTAAATTATTTTTAAATTATTTTATTTAAGCGCCACGTAAATAAAAAAAAATTATAAGTTTTTTCTGATATTTATATTTATAATTTTTCTTTATTTGTTCTATACATTGCAGCTTCTATATTTTGTAGCTATACTCTCTGTTTGTATACAGAAAAAATAATAAGAAAAATTGAAAAAAATAAAAGAGTAAAAAATTTTTTTGCACCGCTTTTTCAGGAAAAATTAAATTTGAAAAAATAAAAAAAATTGCCCGCATATATAATCATATATAAATATAAATATATATTTATATTTTATTATTATATATTTATATATTTATATATTATATATATATATATATATATTATATATATTTATATATTATATACATACAAATATATTTATATTATTATATATTTATATATTTTATTAATGTATATTTTTTATATTAATTATTTTTCCTGCATATAGAACAGAAGTTATGCAAAATAAAGAAAACATATACAGAGATATTTTAGGTTTATATTTATATGAACGTTAGTTTCTCAGGAAATTATCAGGGATTATTCTCCAAAAATGTTAGAAATTCTTATAAAAATCATGAAAATTATTGAGAAATATGATATTTCATACGCAATTTCTAATACATGTGCTATTTTTGCTCGTCTGTGACATATTACAGAATAAATGACTGCTATCTGTATCATGTGACTATTATATCGTGACTTTGTTTTATTATCGAGAGCGTGGATTTGCCGAAAGTAGAAACGATCATCTGTTTATCGCGCGCGAGTGACGCAACAGACGCGTGTGATCACCTTTTCTGCGCGAGAACAGGAAGAACAAACGGCATTTGTTAGCGAGTGATAAACGGCGTCTGATGGTCAGTATGCGTATATAAGACATCGTAGTGCCTGTTTGACCAACTGCTTATAATAGCTATCTTGCAGCAGTATATCTGCAGTATATCCTGCACCATCATCCGTCTTTGTTAATCATCACGCATCATTTAGCTGATCGAATCGTTTTAAACGATCCATTTATTAACGAATACATCGACGATTAAAAGACTAATTAAAAACGTAGAATTTATAATTGAGGAATTACATTTAAAACATAAAGATTGCAAGTGTAAAAGTGGATCTTTTAAAGGAAACTTAAAAAAAAAAAAGATTTATGAATCAAAAAAGTCTATAAAAAAATATTGAAGATTTAATTTCAAGTTTTCAGTCTATTTTTCAATAAAAGTGATTAAAAAAGAAAGAAAAGAATTTCTCAATCCCATGATTGAACTCATCATTGCTTATTGGGAGTGAAAAAGATCCTTCACAAAATCCTAAATCTTTTTGTGAAAAGAAAGGAAATATATAAAACAGGATAAAAACTTGACAATTGAGAAAAGTAAATCTTTAGTGGATCATCTTAATAATTACTTTTGCAGAAACAAAGACATTTAGAAAAGAACATCTATTAAAACACCTATTTTAATAAATTTTAAATGATTATAAAATTTATTGGAAAAAAAGAATAACGTTGAAAGTGAAGATTTAATATTGAAAAATATTCACAAAAACAAAGAAGATATAAAAGTATAAATGTATGTTATTGACACGTTATTTTATATACAAATTCTTTAAGAGAGAGAGAGAGTGGACTCCGTTATTAAAAATTCCGTTATTAAAAATTTGATTAGTATTCAGAATAGCATTGTGCATTACAATATATAGTGAATCAAGATGAACGGAATGAATGGCAATGTGTTGAAGACAGACAACAAATCCCCATCGCCGGATTGCGGAGAAGAACAAAAGTTGATATCACCAACCACACCGACGACGCCAATGATCGTGCGAATAACGAATCCGTATTCTTCTCTGAAATACAGGTAAAAGGAATTTCGACTAAATGATATTTCCAGGTTAAAGCAATCATTAAAGTTGCTACGCAGTTTTTTTGCCTTGAGAAATATATGATACGATAAATTAACAAATATTCTGAAAACGTTCTTCAAACATATTAGTATGCGAAATTATATTTGAGCATCTTAAAAATGAGAAATTAAGGTTTGCTGAAATTTATTTTTAGAATTAAAAAATTATTAAATTTCGCTTATCTTTCAATATTATCGTAATAAAACTGTTTCTAGAGGAAACATAAAAACTATTCTTATTAATTAAATAATATTTCTTTCATTCATTTCTATGACAAGATGTTCAAAAGTTGTATAAAAAGAGATAATATGAAACCGTACTATGTGTGTGTGTGTGTAATAATTGATTAATAAACTTATGAATATATCATCTTTCTTGTATTTCTTACTTTTCTTATAAGTATCTTATATTTTATATGCAAATATGTATTAAATTTATGCACGAAATAATTAGAAAATGCAGATTTTATGTATAAAATCATTCTTAATCATTATTATATGACATGTCTGAAAAATGTGCGAAGATTATTGTATTCCTGATATCAATTTATCATATTCTATAAATATTAGTTTATGATATGATGAATCATGAAAAAAATCTTAATGATTTATTTTAATAACAAAAAAATAATTATTGAAATCTAATTGACCATTATTTAATAAAGTAATTATTAATTAAAAGTAATTATTAATTATAATAATTTATATTTTATATGTTATATGTTTACCAATAAATTTAATTATTTTTTATTTATTATATGTTTACTGATAAATTTAAAATAAAGAAAAGAAATGATATTATTGCATTAGATTGATTTAATATTATAAATATAATATGTAAAAAATACGTCCAATTATTTATACACAATATATTATAATATTAATATTACAACAATATTAGATTTTTTTTACAAATCTTATTAATATTATTTGTGCATGAATTTTACACATGCATGCACGTACGCGTGCGTGTATATATATATATATATATATATATATATATATATATATAATAGATTTATATAACATTTACAGTAATATTTTATTGTTTATTCATATTATATAACGTTAGTTTTGCCGACAAAAGATTTTAAAGTCTGCGCAAATGACATTCTAGAAATTATTTGTTTATTCTACAACTCTTCTTATCAATGTCTCATGATAATTGAGATAAGCGGCTCTTAGAGATCAGTCTTAATGACGGATCGTTCAAGGTTGCGTGCTAAATCGTAAAAGAATTTTAAGATAAATTTCACGTGTTTATCACAAAGTTGGCAGTAAAGATGGATAACTTCACGTGAAAATGAGTTATTTTTTCTACTTTGATAACAATTCTTAATAAATAAATGTTTTGTACGAATAGAAAATTTTAGAATGTAGAAGAAAGATTCTTTTTTGGTAAATAATAATAATAATTTTGAGAAATAAATATTTTTTGTTTAAAATTATATAAATATGTATAAAAAAATATTTTATTTTTAAATTATTCTATGCATATGCATAAGAATTTTATATATATACATTTTGTAATTATATTATAATATTTATCTTTATAGAATAGAGGAAATATAAAATAGAGAGAAAATATATATAATTTAAATTAATATATTATTGTTTTTTATAACTTCAGAATTATATAAAGTACGCAAAACAATTACAAATTTTATTTTTATTTTAAGCTTCAATGATTTAAAAGTGAAAGACTAAATATTGAAACAATGTGTGGAATGTTATTTACTTTTATATTGCCAGACCAATTTTAAATTAATTCAACGTAAAGGAATCATTTTCTTTAAGTAATAACGATGTAAGTCAGATCTATTCCAAAATTCGATAATTTCGAAAGAATTTGAGAAAAAAATTTAAGAATATGTTAAAATATAGATTTATTAGTATATACATAAGGTAATACTAGTTCAAAAAACACAGCAACGCTGTTTCAAAATAGATTAAAATTATTTAAAAATTATTTTGTTAGAAAATTTCTATTAATTATTAATTAATAATATAAATAAAATTATTATTCCTTCCTTTAAAAACTAGCAGTCATAATACGCAAATATTTAAAAGCGAATGTTGCACGCCAAATATGTTCTGATAATCATATAAGTACATGTGTTAAGATTGATTCTGTGTGTATACATAAATTTGCATACATATTGAGGCACATATGGCATGCGCGTTTCATCTTTTAATATTTGCTTGTGATGACTGGTATTTATTCGGGAAATAATAATTATAGCAGAATAAAAAAATTTAACAAATCATTATTTTATTATTGTTAATTTTGAATATTAATTGTTATAATTATTAGTATTAATATATGAAATTATTATTAATTACCTTTTCGAATAATTTCGAATAATTAACAAACATGTGATGTGTGGGCATTTAGGGAATCACATGTCCTAAATTTATCTCGATACGCGTTCAAATTTTTGTGTAAGGTATTACTGACCTCATGCGTACAATCAGCTGATCGGGTATCATCGACCTAGAGAAGGCGGTGGAAATATAGAGGATGCCGTCACTGACTCGGCGACTGATTAACGCGTGGTAATAAATAAATTGGTGGATAACAGCTGCTCGGTTATCATTCAAACTTAAAATGGCGGCTTCCTTTTTGTACCAACAAGAGGGGACAAGGGTCGCGGGAGTCTTCTCGGCACTATCGAATCGTTGACAGTGATATCTCGAACGAGTAGCGATTCTTCGGCTGTAGATTTTTTGTTACATTAAAACTAATATATATATAATTAATTCATAAAAATCAAAATACAAAATTTTTATATATCAATATTAAATATACAAAATTCTTGTTATATGGAAATTATATACGGTAAAATTGTTACATATTACTACGTATATTAATGCGATTTTTTAGATGTTTCAACATTGTTAATTCATAAAAGTAATTTTCGTATTCCTTTTGTGTGAAGATAATACAAAATATATGTTCGCACATTGAAATATTAATATATAATTTTAATGTGGAAATATATTACTGCGTGAGTATGTGTGTGTGTGTGTGTGTGTGTGTGATAATATATGTTGAAATATAATTGGTGCAATTAATATATAAGTTGTGATTGTTGGGCAAAATACATTGACAAATAACAAGTGACTTTACAATACGATAACAAAGTGATATCGAGACTCCTTTGTTCTATAATATTTTAAGACGTTTTAGATTTAGTCATGTCAAAGAGAATAATGATGAACAATGCGCAGAGATCCATGGTGAGTGTGTTAAGATTAAAATAAACATAAGTTCCTATTAAATAAATCATATTAAAATATAAATTGTTGTATATAATGAGTAAGAATCTCTCGTAAACAGAGTGAATAGATTTTAATTTTATGATTATATATTTTTGATAATTTTTTTATACTCTGTAGAAATTAAACAATGTTTATTCAATAATATATTTACTACGAATTTAGTTTTTTGAAATTTTATAATAGCTATTTAATGATTTATGTTTTCGAAATTGTAGAAATTATATAAATTGTTTTCAAAATTGTTTTATGTTAATGTACATATATAAATGTGATAATGTACATACAATATATACAAGTAAATGGCGATATAATAGAGTATATACATATAATATACACAAGGTATTTTTTTTCCTTTTTCCACACTTCCCTGTGTGTTTTAAATAATTTAACAAAATATTTCAGAAATTAAACGATATTGACGAAAATATTTCGAACAAAAATTTATAATTTTAGCGTAATAGCGGAAACAACAAATTGTTTATAACATGCGTTTTTTAATGAAATATTGATATCACGATATTTTTTTAAAGCTTAGTAACTTTATACATATGATACATATTTTTTTTAAAAGCTCAGCTTTAACCTGATACTTATGATTTATACACAAACTTTTTACGTAAATTAATTCTTCTAGTCTGTATATAATAACATTTAAATATAATAACAAAAGTATATAATAACAAACAAAAGATATAATTTTTAGAATATTTTTATAATTCATTGAGAAAAACCTTGCATATACGTTATGGAAAACGTTGGTGAATTTCATTTAAATTTAAGCATATTGTACATTTGTATGTATGTATGTATGTATGTATATATATATATATATATATATATATATATATATATATATATTAATATATACATATATTACATATAATTTATTATTTTTTTATGTTAATGTTTAATAATTTATCAATTGTTATTTTTTAAATCCAACAAAGCTTATGACTTATGTCTTTGAGATTTATCATTCAAATCAAATTTTCTTATTGTATTACACATTAGCGTAACAGTGATCTATATATCCAAACTACCTTGGCGATAATTGCGCATTGATTTTGCATTTCAAAACTTGATTTATTAATACGTGTTACGAAATATTATGTCACAAACATACTTTAATATGCAATCAAATTCCGATTTTATGTTAAGTTATGTTATCAAAGTATTATATATCTTTTCATAAATTTTATTTAAAAATTTTTAACTACTAAAAAAATTTTAAACTTTCACAAAAAGCATGAAATGAATATTTTATAGTCAATATTTTTCCAATTATGCAAAAATAATTTCGTCATTTTTTTTTCTTTCGCCCTGTAAAATTTGCAAAATATAAAAATATAAAAAAATTAATCAAAATTAAAAAATTTATAAAAGAACAATTTTAAGCGTATTATATATACATTAGCATATATCAGTATGCTTAAAATTATTTTTTTATAAATTTTTTAATTTTAGTAATTTTTTTATAAGATTGTAAAAGAGCACATTAATGAGCATAGCAAAAATTTATTAAAAGTTAATATTTTTTTAAATAAAAAATTCGAAATATATTAAAAAGGATTATTTCGGAAAAGGATTAATTTTATAAGTTGATTTTCATTTTATTTTATGATGTTGAGTCCTCTCTGCAATGAACCTTTTTATGAAAATAAACTATATCTTATATTTAGTCGATATTTGTCAACACTTGATGTCGAAAATCATTCACTGTTATTTTCTTTTACTCAATTTTATATCGGCTTATTTTTTACTTTGAACAAATATTTAAGAACATTCATAAAATATCTTTTGGAAAAATATCAACTATTTTATTTGTTAACAACGGCCAACTCTAAGCAATATATATAACGATAAAGTATAATGTATAAAGTAAGGTAATATTATATTTAGCATAATTCAAAAATTTTCAATATAGATTATACTCTGAAACCTTACATAATAGCATGCATTTCGAAATATAGTGTGCAAAATTTCTTTCATACGTGCTAGACACATGAAAGAGAGAAGATTATATTTAAATATAAATTAATTAAATTAGATAAATTATATTAAATAAATTAGATTAAAATATTTCTTTAATTGTTGCAAAAACTAGAACAATACAAAATGCGCGTTTTGCGTGTGCCATTTATTCTTTTCCATTATATATTTTTAATGATATATATAACTTTATTTTATTTTACACAAATGGTTAAAATTGATAGCTGATTTGACAGCCGCAAATAACATGAGTAAGCAAGTTGAATAAACCAATTAGTATCGCGGAAAAGAAGCAACAATATATTTTGAGACTTCAAATATCAACACACATGTCTTTTTTAGAAAGGGAATTTTATGGATTATTAAACGGAAGTAAAGAAAGAAGGAGAAAAAAGCGAATAAAAAGAAGATAGAGAGAGGAAGGGGAAGAGAAAGAGAGGAGATAGAATACAATATCCTGTTTAAATACAAATTATGTGACAAATCTATATTTCAGGAGCCGATACCGGCCTGGACCGACGCGGAAATTACGCCGTCGTGCCGTCCTGAAGAATGGCGATTGCAACGTGCTGCAGTCGCGCATCTCCCGACGATCGCTGCGCTTTTTACAAGATATCTTCACTACCTTAGTAGATACGCAATGGCGTTGGACTCTGCTGTGCTTCATCTTGAGTTTCCTTCTATCCTGGCTAGGTTTCGCGGTGATTTGGTGGCTAATCGCTTTTACCCACGGTGACTTCGAAGAGCGCCATTTGCCACCTTTTCAGGTGGAGAACAACTGGACACCGTGCGTCTACAATATCTTCAGTTTCACCAGTTGTTTCCTCTTCAGTATCGAGACCCAGCACACCATTGGATACGGCAGCCGTTCTACTACTGAAGAGTGTCCTGAGGCTATATTCGTGATGTGCATACAAAGTATCTCTGGCGTCATGATCCAAGCTTTTATGGTAAGTGTTTTCGAAGAATACTAGATGCGTATGAAAAAAGTACGAATTCAAAAAGTTATAATTTTATACAATTTGAATGATTGCAGGTAGGCATCGTATTCGCTAAGATGACAAGACCAAAGCAGCGTACTCAAACTCTATTATTCTCCCGAAATGCTGTAATTTGTCAACGGGATAGCGAACTTTGTCTTATGTTTCGAGTGGGCGATATGCGAAAAAGTCACATAATCGGCGCGAATGTTCGCGCTCAGATGATTCGTAGTAAAACGACGAAAGAAGGTGAAGTTTTATCTCAACACCAGCAAGAACTAGTCGTAGGCACTGATGGTGAAAACGGCGATCTATTCTTCATCTGGCCAACCACCATAATCCATCGGATTAATGAGTCCTCGCCCTTCTACAACATGTCTGCTGAGGATATGTTAACAGAACGATTCGAGATCGTTTTGATTTTAGAAGGTACTATTGAATCTACTGGACAAACCACCCAGGCCAGATCAAGTTATCTTCCACAAGAAATTCTGTGGGGTCATCGTTTTGACCCCATGGTGAGTTATTCGAAGGAACGACAAGGTTACGAAGTGGACTATTCGCTATTTAATAGCACTACTCAAGTTGATACTCCACTTTGTTCCGGTAGAGAACTCGCAGAATTCTATAAAGTGCAGGATGACTTTCGTCACGGAACTGGTAAGCGATGATTGCTTTTTCAGCTACCCATAGATGCTTGTTGTGGTTTACTAACTCAGCAACAAAATATGTCCAGAATAGTGCTGATGTCAAATTCTTGTCTCATTAATATTAAAACAATTTATGTTGCTTGCAATTATAACTATTAAGCTATCTAAAAATCTTAATGTTACAAGTACTCGTATAAAATTGTAATATTTTTCTACTGTAAATAGAGAGTTAAAAATGATAAGGATATGATCTAAGAGGAAATGTAAATATAATTGAAAAATTTGATATCGCGCGCGACGAAATTTAGAATTGTTTTCACGCGAAAAGTCACGTCAATACAGATCTGATTTATGATAATTACTGAGAGAGGAGTGTCGAATTATTAACACATCAAAACAAATATTATCTATGTTACTTATCTACATTAATCACAATTTATGATTTTCAGTCAATATGTTTGGTTAATATGAGATAAATTTTATGTGTGTTTGATAATTAGTCTAGCATTATAATGTCTATTATATGTCGATGTAGCATATGTTTACTTAATTATCTTTAGAATTAACATTGATGCAAACTTATTGAAACACTTGAAAGTTTATAACTTAATGGAAAAAATTAACACTTTCATATAAGTATGCTAATTGCCAACCATCGTCTCATATAATATTTAGCTTGAAAGCTTAGTATAGATAGTATCTGATAGATACTAGATAGATAGTATTAGAAGCTTAGATAGTATCCCAAGCAAGGTTGATCCTTAGCTTGCTAATTCAAACGCTTCAGTTTTGCACATAATTCATTGTCTGACTGTCTGGTACCGGCTATATCACAGATGGAAGTTTGAAGAAAGTGCCTAGCGAGCCGAAGAGCGCTCCCGTCGTACTCAACACGTTCCTTCAAGCCGATAGCACAGACTTCCCCATCCATCAAGGTCACTCTTCTCAAAGGCCGTCTAAATTGCATATTGACATTCCATCTATTGATGATTATCCTGAAGTATGATGACTCGATTCCTCTCTAAAGAAAGGGCGATGAAAAAAGTTAAAATAAGTAAAAACAAAGAAAAAGAAAGATAGGAATAAAGCAGAAAGAAAAAAAGAAGTGATGAAGAGACGACATCTTTTGCTCCACAAATAGATGAATAATTCATTCTTTTTGATATTTTGTAAAAATTTTACAAAAATAAGCTGTATTTCGAGCAAGCAATTAAAGGAAATTTAGTGATAAGTAGATGAATTTGACAATTTTGATGGCATGTTTGAAAAATTTAAATTCTTATAATAAGAATCTGGTGGAAAAAGTAACATATGCTCCAATTATATATTTAATAATTGAAAAATAGCCATTTCGATACATTTAACGATTAAGATTTTATTTTCAGATTAGAAAAATAAATAAATAATTTATATTTTTTAGAATTTCTGCTTGGTTTAGCTTGGTTGTGATTGTCTATAAATCTTTACGCATTAAAAATTGAGGTTAAGGCAAGCGAAAAATTAAAATCACACATTTAAAATTGAAATTTGACTGAGTTTTATTATATTAAAAAGTTATAATAAAAATAAATTATAATATAAGTTATAAACATGTGAAAAGACACCCAATAGTATTACTAATAATATGTAATAATATAAAAATATAATAGTGAATTTTTGATGCACTGGTACGTATTAAAAATGCTGTTTATACAAAATTATAATAGCATAACAGTAATAAAAATAGAAAGAATTACTTATGTTATTGTAAATTTGTATATGACAGATTTTTTGATGTGCATGAAGGCTAGTCGGAAGCCAGCATGCAGTGCACGCGAATATCTCCACCGGCACTTATTTGGTCAGCGAGCGACCTTTTCAAGGATCCTCCATGCCAATCGGCATTGCATCCATCGAGTAAGATACTAACATCGCTCTGGAATCGCATATCACTGTGTTAAAAAGCAGCATTAGATGTAAGGACTGGATAGCTCAGTGGTCTAGAACAGTTACCCGGAAAGCGAAAGATTCGGATTTGCTTGCACCTCACATATTTTTCTAGTCCACGAATGTTGTTTTCTAACAATTATTCGTTGGGCTGAAAGATGTGTGAATGCTCTCTCCACAGGATATGCGTCTATATCGTTGCCACGGATGGATTCTGTTGCTCGTTGACCGAATGGGCATAGACACATCTGACCTCCTCCCACATCCCTATCTTTTCTGGATCTGCAGGTTACCTGTCTAAATTGGCAGTATTTATCTAATTTATATTTATTTTAGCTATGCTTTTATTATACAACTATTTATATAGCTTAGTTTTTATCTATAGTGGAAATTATGAATTATGAATTTTGAAAAGTGAATTTTGAAGTGTATCATATAAAAGTCAATTTACAAAAAAATTCATTGAAAAGATTGATTTAGGAAGATTAGTTTGAGAAGATTACTAAGCTAAAAAAAGTGTGAGAGAAATTCGTACAAATTAAATCTCTCAATAATGGCAAGTTTGTATTAGAAAGGAAAGAGGCATTTTAAAATAAAAATTGCAATGAATATTTTTTTTTGTTTTAGTGTAACGTAATAATAATAAACGTATTTCAGACTTTTATTATTTTATATATATAATATTTTTTTCTTTTTTTTTTCTTGCAAAACGTTTCGAAAAAGTTTGATGGTTTATGTATATAAGCATGAAACTATCATTTGATAAATATGGATGAAAACGAAAAATAAACATGAATGCCTCCTTTATTTGAGACGTTTTTATAAATTTCTATATTATATTGTTAAACTGTTATAAATAGAAGTTGAAGAAAACATTGTAAAACATGCAAAATGCCATGAAATGTAATCTTAAATACACATGATTACAAATGTTGGTCGCATAATACAATTATATAACTTTTTAAATAGTACAATTTTAATCTCAATCTTTAATGAACGTAGACCATGTGCAAGTATAAAGGGAATAGAAACCTTAAATCACTTTATCCTGGTGTTTTGGTCCTTCAAGCTCTTTGGGTATGTGGAAAACTTTCGTTTAATTATATACTATGAATGTAAAAAGTATAAAATAGGACAAATGTAACAAAAAGTTTATCTGTTTTAGCTTTTGTTTTTTTTAAAGTTGTCGAATTTTAAAAGCTTTTCAATTTTTTTCGACAGCTTTTCTAATTATGTGAACGATTTTTTTTTACACGGGGAATACTTTTCCTTCAGCATGATGAAAATAAATTGGGAAACGACATTAACTGATTATAAATTGATTCTTAATAAAATTTGAAGTCTCTAAATCGCAGAATGCCTTGCAGATGTCCTTATTGATGAAGATCGTTTCGGAGAACAATATTGCTGCAATTGTCGCTTGATCAATCAGCAGCATTCACTACCTCTCACACCTTTGGATTGCTTGAACAGTTATACTAACAATAAGATGGAAAACGATTATCCTTGGAGATATGGCTGTAAATATTCAAATTGCGCTATACACAATTCTCAAAGAGAAGTCATCGATCAAGCTAAAGTATTCGATTTCAACCCTGATGCCATTCAGATCATAGAAGATGTAGAACTTCAACAATTGCCAGAACCAGTAAACAGAGAGATCATGAAGAACAGTCATGAAATTATCTTTGAAGAAAAAGAAGAAAATTTAGAGAAGAATCTAATTAAATTAGGCGGAAAAAATAAAAATCATATCCAGGAAATTGTTTCTGAGGAAGAGAAAGAAGTTTTAATGCCAAGAGCTGTGAAAAAGAATATCATTAATAGAGAAAAAGAAAAAATTTTGACGAACAGTCAAGAAATTATTTTTGAAGAAGAGGAAGAAGGCATTCGGATGCAAACAGGATTAATCAAATTAAATAAAAACGCAGATAAGATCTTGAAGAGAAACTTATCTTTGAAGAAGATAGATTTTGAAGAGAAAAAGGAAGAATTTTTAGAGAAAAATATTGGAATGAATAAAGAAAAAGTAGGTAGGCTGAAGAATAATCAAGAAATTAACTTTAAAGAGAGAGGAGATTTTTTAGAAACCACCCTAACTGGATTGAATGTAAAAAATGCTAATATTCTGAAAAATAGTCAAAAAACCGAAGAGACAGAAGAAGTCTTTGAAGAGAAATTAGACGAAGGAAAGGTTGACATCCTTAAAAATATTGATGAAATTTATGAGAAAGAAGTGCTTGCTTGTACAAAAATAAAAGAAAACCGCAAAAATAACAGTCATCAGATTAATTATACTTTGTATAAACCTCAAAGAATACACAATAAAAAATATCAGCTAATCTCATTGTTAGATCGTGATCAACAAAAACTTAAAACAAATTATTCTTTTTACGAGGAACAAAAATCTCAAAAAGAGTTTGATAGAAGTTTGATTGATGATTCTTTCATAATAAATGATAGAAGATCTATTAGGGAACCTCGAGAAAATACAATCAACAACACGAAGAATGTTACGATGGAAGAAGATCAAAAAGTTTTGAACAAAATTAAGAAATATCCTATAGTATCGTTAGATCATTCAAAAGATAGCCTAATTTTTCGTCAGAGATCGAATTACAATTTACATAAACAAGAAAGTAATAATATCAGTATTGAAAACGAAAAGATTATGAGATCATCATCGCATCGTCCTGCTAAAATAGCGATACAACATAAACTTGATCCCAGTGATATTTGTTCGCCGATTTCTCCAGCCTCCAATTTCTCATGCGAATCAGGTTTTTGTGAAGGAAGTCTTGATAATAGTTGTAGAGAATCTTGCTTGTTTACAATAAACATGAAGAAAATTGATAAAATTATGGAGAGAGAAAGTAGCAATTCGTCACAAAGTAGTCTGATGCAAAAAAGTGTAATTAATGATGTAGATAATTTTAAAAAATATGCTAAAGATCAGAATGTTCAAAAAATTACTTTAGATAATAATATTCAGGATGTTGATAATAAGGATGGAGCTTTTTCATATAGTGACACATCTTATATAAATCATACTTTTAATGAAAATAATTCAGTAAAATGTGCTAACGCTTCAACCGTTAAAGAACAAATTATATATATAGACTATGAAGTGCAAGACGATCATGAAATGAAAAAGAAATGTAAATGCTCAAATACATTATTGAGAAAATTGGTTAGCAATACTGACCCAAAAGAATCTTCTACAATTGAAAAACAATTTGCAAAAAGAACATCAGAATGTTGATTTAAAATGTTGACGAGGTTAAAAAGCATTTTTTTAAATTCCAATACATCTTATAAATAATTAATAAATATTTCAATGAATTTGAAATTTCCATAAATATTTAATGATATTATTGTTTTTGAGAAGCAAATTTTTCATAGCGTCAAGATGAAGACCGAGGGAAAAACTATAAAGATTTTTTGAATGATATTATATTAATGAAAAGTTAGTTAATGAAAAATTAATTAATATTGTCACTCTTAATCATTCGAAATAATATGACAATATTGCTGAAGAACAAGTTATTTGTAAAAACATGAAAGGTATAGATTTGGAATTCTAAACGGTAATAGTATATCATGTTAAAATTTATTTAATGATGTATATAATTATGCGAGACAGTGTGATAATGATTGTTACTGAAAATGAATTATTTGTAACAAGAATATATATATATATATATATATATATATATATATATATATATATATATAGGTGGGTTGTTTGATAAGTTAGTGACTTTGAAGTAAAAGAATTTTTTTCCTTACCAAAATTTTCGATTTATTTTTCAATGTAATCTCTTTTTATCTCAATACATTTTACCCAACGGTTTTCCAACTTCTTTAGACCTTCCAAAAAATACGGTTCCTCAAATTCTGCAAACAGGCGTTTGCAGAGTTTGAGAAACCGTATTTTTTGGTCTCAGCGATGATCTCCTCGTTCGATGCAAATCTTTTTTTACCGAGCCATTTCTTTATGTTTAGAAAGAAAAAGAAGTCGCAAGGGTCCAAATCTGGAGAATAGGGTGGAAGAGGGAGCAGTTCGTGTCGCAATTCGACAATTTTGGCCATTAGCACACGGAATTCACTTTTTTACATTTTAGCAAAAGAATACAAACTTAACCGCTTCATAACGTTGTCAAAACATTTCTATTTGACAGATCTATTTGAAACTTTGTGTGTATATTTTAAAAAGATAGCAAATATCAGAAATAAAATTAAATTGCGATTTGAATGCCCTCTCTGGTAAAAGTCACTGACTTATCAAACAACCCACGTGTGTGTGTGTGTGTGTGTGTGTGTGTATACACACACACACACACACACACAATAATAGATAAGATAAAAGTATGATGTGCGTGTAGGAGTTCAGATAATAAAATATTTTGCGAAAATTAAATTAATAATTTTATAAATCAAGAAAAAATACTAAGATATTTATTAATATTGAGAGAATTATTAAGAAATCCATTTATGTGTGGTAAAATGCGAATGAGTTTATGAAATGACGACTTTATTTTCCGAAATAAGTGATGCTTTAAACTGCTGGTCGGTTGATTATTACTGTACAATATATTGAATCCCTTCGAGAAAGAAGTTTCTTTGAAGAAAAAATTATAACAAAGCAATTAACGTTACATATCGATTGTTATTTAATTAACGATTGTTATTTAATTAACAATCAATATGTAGAATCAAATCTATGATAAAATGTTATTTATTGCTTAAATAAAAATATTGTATATTTTAAATTAACATGTATATATGACAATTCTCCTATAATTAATTAAATTGATAAATGTCTTGTAAGTCCCGAATTACTTTCACTTAAATCTTAACAAAAATAAAAAGAAATTATTTTCAATATTTAAAACTATATAAAACAATATAAATTATAAATAAAAATATAAAATGTATATAATATTAAATTCTCTTAATTACTTTATAATTTATTTGTGATATTTGGCACATTTGATAAGTGAAGAGAATTGTTGTAATTGTGATATATTATTATTGTTATTATTGTCATATATATTATGAGATACATTATAATTTATTAATAACATATACGTAATATTGATTATGTATTATGTTACAAATAAAACGATATAAAAAAATATTTGAATATTTGGAGATATTTAGTATGCCATTTGAATATTTTAATATAATACAATGTGTCGCATATAACATCTTTCATAATAAAAACGAAAAGACTCCATTTCCATAATAAAACTTTTTTGTGTTTTGTTTAAATTAGTTATCCTATATTATATATATATATATATATATATATATATATATATGTATATATAATTAAATGGCTAAATAACTAAATATTTGTATTATTAAGTATAAAAGAAAAGTAACAATTCTTTCTAATTTGTTTAGTTACAGACTATCATTTTTTATAATTTGATTTTAATAACTCTTGAAGATTATTTGATACATAGTATAATGAAGAAATTCCACGAAATCGATTGAAAAAATCTGAATAACTAAATTATATTTTATTCCAATATCATATATGTCATGGGAAAAAAATGTTATTTGAAATATATTGAAAAAATACTTGTTGTTACTAAATTTGTTGTTGCTTATTATAATGTAATTATAATGTATATTTTAAACATATATAATATGTTTAATAACTATATGTTTAATAAATTATTATATATGTTATAATAACATATATAATATGTTATTATAATATGTTACATTGTAATTTCTAAATATTGAAACAATAATTTTTTTCTTTCTTTGGTTTTTAGAAATATAAGATAATAAATTTGATGAAAAAATTATTTTTCAATAAAAGTTCAATAGTTTTCTATTAAAAATATAAAAGTTAATTTTAACAAATTGTTGAATAATAAATTTTTAGTGCATGATTTCGCTTGACCTCGCAAACATGTGGTTGCGATAAAAAATTCTTATCGTAAGGAAATCAAAGTATCATAACAATCTCATAGTATTTGAACTTCTATTTATCGCGTTATCGAACCGCGATAGTAGACAAGTAATATCGTTATAAAATTCTGAAGCAACCACAGACGTTGATGTTTTTTTTATCTTTTGTGGCTTTTAATTTTCCGTTTTGTGGGACTTTTCGTAAAATATAAAAGAATAGACTTTATAAAAAGACATAGTTTATTATGAATCTTTGGTACTTTAAAACTAATTAATCATTAGTAAGATACAAATTTAAGTATTAATTTTGTGAAATTGTGCATTATTTTACACATAAAGTATTTTTACATATACATAAAATAACATATATATAATATACATAAAATAATATACATAAAATTATTTATATAAAGTAAACAAAAATATTTTAATATTCACATTCTCTGTTTTACCTGTTGACACAATCTCTTCAATGAATGTATTATATAACGCATCGTAAATGTAGATTTTCAGTATCGTTTACTAGCTGGAAACGTACGCTGCATAACCGACGAATCGTGCGTGCGGTGCGTGTGTGAGAAAAAAGTACATTAAAAATATATTAAATTAAAAAATTAATTTTATATCTTTTATATTAACCCAATATCTTCAAGATTTAAAAAAAATATCTGTCGAATATTTTGTCCTGACTGTAGAAAAACAAGATTCAATATTTTCCTAGTCATCTCAAGAGAATAAACATATTCACAATCAGATTGTGTACAAATGGCGGATCAAGAAGAAAAAATCAAGGTATGTGTGATTGGTGCTGGTGCAGCTGGTTTGTGCGCAATCAGACATTTGGCGGCAAATGCGAAATTCGAGACAACAGTTTACGAGCAAACGAATGAAATAGGAGGTATATGGGTTTACAAGGAACAAGCCGACTTTGATGAAAATGCCTTATCGATCCACTCCAGCATGTATCAAAATCTAAGGTTTACTTTTACTCTATAAAAAAATCTGATTTCTTTTCAAATATATTGTATAATTTAAAGTTGTTAGGAGAATTCCTTTATATCAATAATTACTAAATATTATAATAAATATATATATATATATATATATATATATATATTATAATAAATATAATAATACTAAATATTTTAATAAATATAAACTAAAATATTTTGCTTCTAAATAATTCAATACAAGCAGTAAAATAGAAATAAAAAAATATATTTTTTTTAACTTTAATGAAAGCTAGATATCTGTTTTTTCTATATTCTAAAATAACTTTTTCGATAAATATAGAATTAAGTATGGTATTTCTGTTATCTTTTCAGAACTAATTTACCTGCAAAGATAATGAATTTCCCAGATTATATTACAATGGAAGCGCAAGAACCCTGCTGCGTGAGTCATCAGGAGATTTTAAAGTATTTGGAAAATTACACTCAACACTTTGATTTATGTCGACATATTCAAGTAATTATATTTTAATATTAAAAATAATAGAAAATAATTGATTTTACTCATATTAATAATTATTTTTTTGTAGTTTAATACAAAAGTCGAACACGTTCGACTTGAATTATCCGAACATTGTAATAAAGAAAAATGGTCTGTCCAAGTGAAAAAGTTAAAGACAAACGAAATAAAAATGCAGTATTTTGATGCAATTATGATTTGTAATGGGTAAATCAAGTTACATATTAATGCATATTTTATTAAATATGATTTTATGATATTATGTAAATATTCTCTCAATTTTTTTCAGACATTATTTCGATCCTTATGTACCGATTATACCTGGCATCGACAGTTTTCCAGGTTTAATATTGCACAGTCACGTATATAGAAAGCCGGATGAGTTTTTCGGGAAAAAAGTGTTGGTATTAGGTGCAGCTTCATCTGGTATTGACATAGGAATCGATTTATCCAATTATGCTGCTTGCGTATACTTAAGCCACAATCACGATAGGTAACTTAATTAATACTAAAAATATTACTCAAAAACAACTAAGATTTTTTTCATATGATTAAATCTTTAGGTATAGAATTAGAAAAGAGATAGTTTAAAATTGATTTGATTAATTTTTTTCTTGCAGATTAACAAGTCCTTTACCATTGAATATGATACAAGTAGCTGGTATCGAAAATATACACGAAACTACATTCCGCCTCAGAGATGGAACTACTATTGATGGTATAAACGTTTTACTTTTCTGTACTGGATACAAATACAGCTTTCCCTTTTTGAATGAGAATTGTGATATACGGATTGACAATAATTATGTGACACCGCTTTACAAACATCTCATTAACATCAAACACCCTTCGATGTGCATTATCGGTATACCTATGGCCGTTGTGCCGTTTCCTATGTTTCATATGCAGGTATAACAATTTATTTACATAAATTTAACATAATACGATGACTTAAACATTAATACGATGACTTTAACGTAATACGATAATTTTGGACAAAATTTTGAGATAATATAGTCACTCATAATGTTGCGATTAATATGTTTAAGTTGGAGATAATGTATATAATAATTTTATATTAAATTTAACACAAATTCTTGATATTTTACATATAATTATTTATATAAATATATTATTTTAATTATATTATTTATTTATTTCTTTTAATAACTGTGTATGTTTCCTTACAAATTTAAAATTATTATCTAATTTTAGCTCTAAGTTATAATCATACACTTAAAATTATAAAAATAAGATTATTTGCAAAAATGCGATTTATTTTATTAATTATGTTAAAATTATTTATTCGTATTGTGCGATGTTTTCCAAATTTTTATTTTTCAGGTGCAATATTTCCTGGCTTTATTAGAGGGCCGAGTGGCTTTACCTACAAAATCTGTTATGTTGGAAGATTCGATTTTAAAAACACCAAAGAAAAGACACGCGCATAAGCTAATGGATCGCCAATGGGATTACAACGATTCATTAGCGACTGTTGGTGGATTTAATCGGTTACCACTCTTTTATAAAATCGGTTATAGAGCATGGTCAGTTCAAAGATCTGCGAATCTTTTACGTTATAAAGATTCCAAATTTGTCTTTTCTGAAGATGGACAAAGCGTCGAGTTAATTATACCGGAATAAAGTCCTGTAAAATTCTATTATATTAAACGTTTCCTGATAATTATAACCAATTTTTTGATAACAATATTTTAATTGATAACATAATATTATTTGATAACATAATATTTTAATATTTAAATAATGGTATAATTATATTTTACAATATAATTTATATTTGTATATATATATATTTTGTTTCAAAACATATACATTTATGTTAATAAATTTACGTTAATAACGTATACGAAAAACTTTAAACGTGTTTTTCTCGAAATCACATTTTTCAAACTGGCTCATGATCGAACTCGCCCATGATCGAAAACCAATTGACCAATTAAATCAGGCTTATGCACGACCCAAATCAACCGGACAACCAGAATCATGGGCGTCATGGACTAACTTTTTTGTCATGGTTTTATTTAATATTATATTTATTTAATATTATATTTATTTAATATTATATACTGAGTTTATTTATAGTCATTTTCTAATAAAAAAAATTTCTAAAGGTACTTTAAATATGTAGAAATTTGTAGGAAAAACCTTATTAAACCTTATTATTATAAAAAAATCTTATACTTTTTTTTTTTAAATTTGTAAAAATAGCATAAAAATTCGACTTCTAGATTAGAATACCCCCTTAACCCATTCCAAAAAATTTTCCTTCTGTTTCAATTCCTACAATCACTCCATACCCACACCCTTGCCAAAATCTCCCCTTACCCCACTTCCTGCAGTACAAACAACAAACTTACAAACCTTTTCACAAAAATACACTGCTTCTGCATCTCCATCCAACATCTCATCTCACATACCCAAATCCAAAATTTCTACGTTAAACTATAACTCTTAAACGCTTAAACGATAACTCAACTTACAACAATTCTTACTCTATACTTTCAAACGAAATATTAAATGAATGGATAATATATAAAAAGAATATATAAATAAACATTAAATAATATCTTCTCCATTTCTTCATTTCGATAAAAATTATTTTTTAACTTAATTTAATAAATAACGTACATTAGAGAGCGTTTTTTTAAATACATAATCTTATTTCAGTTACGTTGCTCTCATTAGTCGTTCGAAAATGTAGCATACAGAGAGTCACTCTATCTCTTCCCTAGTTTTTCTCATCGCCCACCCGGGAATTGCTGGAAGTGTTTTTGAACGCAGCCTGTGACGTTTCAATGACGTTATTTATACTATTGAAACATTTCCAAATGTTAAATCGACCGTGAAACGCTCAAAGCTCAATCCGTAACGTCTCTCCGACCCCACCTCTTGCCATAACGCCAAAATTCATATTTAAATTCATCATTAACAAATAGCACCAATTTGGCGTATAAGCGAATACACAACGGAGCCTAAAGGCTTTGCACAATGCTAGGCAACAGGCAATAGGAATAGGGAAACTATTTACCAAAAAATACGCGGAATAGAAAATATTCACCAATAGGAGCAGAGAATAGATACTATTTCTGTTGCCTGTTGCCTAGCATTGTGCAAGGGCCTTAACTATTCATAAAGAACATGAATACAGAGAGAAGATTGAGAGATATCATGGTCCTCTTTTAGATGACCTGGAAGTAATACTTTTTCTGTGGACATTAAAAACGTGGACATGAACTATTAAGCCAATGTCCACGAATGTTCTCAGAGGGTAACATATATGTCTCTCTGATAATATAAATAATATAAATAAAAATATAAATAATTTAATTAATAATAATTTATTATATAAAAATATTAATATGTTTTCTCTTTTTACGCTATTATTTATTTATTTATTTATATGTCTTTTTTTCTTCTCTCAACATTAATTATTTATTTATTTATTTAGCTCGCTCTAAGTCAGTTTTTTAAAATGCAAAATTAAATATTATAAAATTTGACTTCAGAAAAGCGCGGTAAAATAACCGAATAAATTCTTAGCATAATAAAAAATTCCGTGATACATCAATCATTTAATAATTAATTTAAAATAAAATATACCTCTATAATTTAAAATTCCGCTTATATATATGTAGTACGTAAAATATTTCGGCAGAGAATTATCAATAATATCATGTTTGGCCTTAGCAAGCGAACTATACATGTCACGGCTTTGTCATTATTCGCACGATAAAACTCGAATAATAAAGTAGTAGTGTGCGAAACGCTTCGTATATTATCAAATTCTTTTTTCAACCCGATCGTGACTAATATTGCAACATAATTCGTTATAATTATTATAACAAGTATCTTTTGATTAAATTTCTCTAAAAAGCAAGTATAAATTAATTATTAATTAAACAATAGTTATATCACGATTTTTTATTACTTTAATTTTTGATCTTACGAGATTTGTATATTTTATACATATATACTATATATACGTACATCAAAAGTACTAGTGCTATTCGCTCTGCTTATTACTGTTATATTATTAATTTTAATCTCGTATAAATGTTGTTCTTATGATATAACAAAATGCGAATTTCATATGATTATTCTGCGATCGAGAATAGCATGCAAAATGTCCCACGTACAGAAAATATTTCGGCAACGAAAGAATTATCAATAATATCGTGTTCAACCTTGATAAACAGTATAGAGCTATTGTTAATATGTTAACATGGCTTTATTATCATTTGCACAGTGATCTAGAGTAGCGACGTCAGGGACGTTTCACATATTGTCAAATTCTTTCTTTACATAGTTAATCTTGGCGATATAAACAGTACCACGTTAATGTTTCTGACTTACGATCATTCGCTCAGCGGTTCTTGAGCAGTGAAGTAGTGATGTGAGACATTTCATATGTTATTAAATTCTTTCTCTGAACACAATTGCAAGTGCACGAGGAACTTTTCGTGAATGAATGTAAGTGCAACGAGGAATTTAAATGAGTGCAAGGAGGATTGAAATGCCACAAGGAAAAAGCGAAGAATGCAAAAGAAAAAAAGGAGGTTTTGGAAATGGATGGACGAATAAGATATGATGTAAGTCATTAATATAAATTATTTATCACATTTATTATTTATTATATTATTGCGTCCCCGCGTCTCGTCCCGCTGAATGTATTCGTCACTCGTTGAATTCTTTCGAAGGAGATTGTTTCGTCAAGAATGCGCGCGTTGTCAAGATGTTGTTATAAACAACAACTGTCAGAGAGTCTAAGCTCAGCTATCGAGCTGTGCGGACACGCATCTATTTGTGATCCGTTTTATGATTATTCTGAACTCTTGTATGTTACTCGCAGTTTATTAAAATTCTTGTGCACCTTAAATCGCGTTATTAGTTACGACTGCACGAGCGTCAACCGATTGTGTCGCGCGCGTTCGATATATATCGTTTTGCGGATGCAACAATATATAAATTATTTATCATTAGTATATATTCAAAATATACATTTCACGTTTCGTTTTATTTCTTTGATAGTGATTTAATAGTGATTTTAAATTGTAATATATAATAATACATATACTTATAAAAATATTCCATTTTATTTTAAAATGATTAAAACATTTGTAAAATGTTTTATTAATATTTTCAGATACTTCTTATGTTTTATAAAATATTTCATATTGATATATTTATTTAAATATTTCTCATATAAAAATAGAAATTTTTTTATTTATCGTATTTCTAAAAGTTTATATCTAAGAAATATAAATTATTTTGTAATTACGCAATTTATAATATTAAAATATATCTATTTAAAAGTAAAAATGTAAAAATTAATTGCGTGCAATAATTAGTTTTAAAATCAATTCTTTTAAACATTGCTTTATGTAATATATTTTCCCTTATTCTTTATATTTTTATTTATCGTTTATATTTGCGAATTTAAACTTATATAGTATATTACAAAATAAATTCCATAAAATATATTATATATAAATTTATATATAATATAACCCTCCCATGGGGTACACCTTGTTGCGGTGGGAGGGCTTAGTACCTGTACGGTGCCTTAAGGTTTATCTTAAATTTTCCAATTTATGATAAATCTTAAGGTGCCTGAATGGGAAGCTAAGTACCCTTTCGCGTCGTCGGTGCCGTCAACGTGCCGCGGACGGCAAGCGCTTCGTCAACGCGTCGCGTTAGATATATACATATTAGGGAGTGCCGTTAAAGGTATATACATATTAAGTATATACATCGTGCGATCAAATATAAAATTTTTAATCGCATTTAATTGAAATAGTGCGTGAGTGCCGTTCAGTATCGCGCGTAAAATAACGAAAATAGCGATATAAAAATATCGCTCGCGAGTGCGGGAGTGTCGTTGAAAGTATCGCGTGTCAACAACATGAGAGGAGGAGGAGGCCTGGGAGAGGCATCTTGTATCGGCGGAACAACCTGATGGTGAATATTTATTATTTATATATCAATTAGTATAAATTGTATGCATAATAATTCGATCTTATTATTTAAATTAATGAATTAAAGAGAAAATTAGAGAAAAAGATTTTTATAAAAATCATATAAAACTTTCTATTTAAAAAATAGTTTCAAAAATTTATAAAATTTTTCCACACGTGTTTATCTCTGCTTATTATTTTACACATCGGATATAAAATTCCGAACGATAAAAATTTTTTGAAATATTGATTGCATTTTATGAACATTATTATAAATGAATTTTATGTTTGTATGTTACAGACAACGTAGCTTCGACAACTACAACTCCGCTGTTGCGCATCAGTACCGGTGAGTGAGAAAAACTTTTATTTAACTTTAAGGTAACGAATTCGTACAGATTGTAGATGTAGATGTAGATTGTAGATTGTAGTAAATTCGTTGCCTTAAAATGGATGAGCTAGGATAGATTAAATTAGATTAAATTAAATAACTTTTAATAAATTCTTTCGAAATACTTTGCATCTATTGCGAAAATATATTGAAGTATTAATTAAAAAAACAGTATTAAGAAAAGAAAATTTTTTTGTAAAGATTTTATCTAATTTATTAAATAAAGAGCGCGTTAATAATTTTATCAATTTTACCAATTTTGGATACTTTATTTTTATAACGCGCACTTATTTTATTCTAATTTCTTATAGTTCATCCATCGTAGAATTTGTTTGTAGATATT